TGACTCCAGCAGACTGATAGGCCTCACATATCCAAGGAGGAGAGAGGGAAAGATTTATTTAAATTTTTCTTTTTTTGTTTTCCCCCGCTCAGCCATCCCGATCATTTTTTTTATTTTATTTTAAAATAAACAAATTTTCTTGTAAGGAACAAGTTAGTCCACACATGGGTAGTTACCCATGAAATACATGAGAGATAATGGGTTTTATTCTAATCAAGCAAGAGACAAAGCTACTGTCAAGGAAGTTCCAAGGCCCCTAACTTTTGGTGGTTAGCTTTAAAAATACTCAGTTCTTCATGAAGTAATGATGATAAAGATTTATCGCACACCCACAAGGAAAGTATATGATACAGTATTTGAGAAAAATCAACTTAATAATATTATTAAATTTATACCTATTGGAGTAACAACTAAGCATAGACATATCCTTAAGGATTTTATAATGACCTGTGTCTAAATCAATTTCACATTTGATACATATATATGTATAGATCCTTACTTGGAACTAAAGAGAGTATCGTGCTTTTAAAAGGTTAAGGATTAGTGGTGGACATATAGTATACATGCCTGACTCATACAAAAAAAAAAAAAAAAAGCCAAAATCACTGTGATAGAAAAAAAATTATAATACTTAACTTTTTACTGTAAACAATATGTTGATCATCTTCGAGGCATAGTATTAATTAAAATATTAAAAGTTTTGAGCATTACTGTTTCACTTTTGGCCACCTTTCCCATCATAGTCACCCACCACCAGAAGTTTATTTTAACCACCATTAATTATAAATAATTAGTTATAAATTGTGTTCTGTAGGTTCTATTCATGGATTATTAAAATAATAAGTATTATATTTAAATACAACTACATATAATAATATCTTATTAAGCTATTAACTGCAAATAGAAGATTACCTGAACTTTTATAAGATAAGGAACAGTTATTGAAACTTATTAATTTTTTATGACTGCTGTAACGAAGGTAAAAAGAATAAAAGGAAGAAAATATATATAATGAAATTTTGTTAGGCTAATTCATCCTGGATTATCTATAAATTCGTATGGAGCAAAAGAATAGACCACCCTTTCCTAATTAATATACAGTAGATTACCCCTTCCTAAATTTTCTAGTGAGAACAGATACAAAAGCAAGATAAATAGTAAATTCAGATTTTATAAAATAAAGTAAAATATAAATTAACTCCAATATTCGGTAAAATCTTAAGGTTATATCGTTGGTTTAACACAAAACGTCACTAGTTACATTTTTGATTTTTGTGGATTTCCACCTTTTTTATCAAAATAAATACGTAGTTAACAAATGAAAATAAATGAAACATTGGCACAAATAAAAAAAAAAATTTTATAATGACTGCGTCCTGAATATTTATCACCCAAAATAAAAATGAAACAAAACCTTTTATAAATCAAAGATAATTATACTAAGAGCACAATGTTTTAATTTCACTGCAGAAAAATTTATCTGTAACTTAGTGATTTAATTTCATGAAATGTTATTTAATGACTATATGCAATAAAGCGACAATATGTTCATTATTAGACAAGACAGTTAAATTTATTGGATATAAGTTATTTTCAAGAATATTGAATTTTTTTCTTTTATTTTTTTTATCCAAGGTTTGTTAGTAACCTATAAAGTCTCACTGGTCTTCATTTTCTTAGTCACAGGGTGGTTAAGTTACCATTATTGTCCCTAATAATTTCCATGTCTATATAAAAACCTCATGTTTTGTTCATCTCTTTTTCAATTGTAAATTTAATTTTTCATGAAAACTGTCTATTTCATTCCAGGGCACCATGGAATCGATCCAAATCTTTTTCTATTCATAATGCAGAGAATACCATCCATATACTTGAAGATTATTTTTAATTTTTCTTTTGCAACCTTTAGTAATCTATTCATAATAATACCTACTAATTTTATTGATAAAACCCAATGCATTGGGAACCCATCAGTTTTCTGAATATATTTCCTTGAAATTTAAAAAATCTGTGTTTACACATTAATTTCATCCCATCTATAATTTTCTTCTTACTTTTTATTTTGTGTATAGTTCAATTTTATTATTATTATTCATTTATTACATTATATAAAACTTTTAGAAGAATATTGGTGAAAAGTGATTTAACATCAAAACTTATTAATATTTCCTTTTCCTTCATATTTATATTGTTTAATCTGAGTATATCCTCATGTTCCACTTACCAATTCATACATAAATACAGTGAATAAAAGTGGACACAGACTATACGATGGATTAGTGATGTAATTAAAGCTAATTAATGCCCAGATTTTAACAGAAAAGGACCAGCTGGGAGTTTGATCCCAGTCTTTAAATTAAAATTGTTGCGATCTTTATAAAGGGAGGTTGTATTGTGAACAAGTCAATCTTCTATTATTCTAGGAATCCCATTTATAGCTTGATCATGGGATCTTGGCCCGCTCATCAAAACGGAGTGAGACTTGTAGTGTTACCACCAAATCTAATCAATTGATTCACACTTTTTTAAATTGTTATTTGTGATGAAAAGTTGTTATTGGTGTTGTGTCAAATCAAACACATGGCCTAACAATAGCACCATCAGGAATGCTATTTCTGATATGCGATAATCTTTTTAGAAATATGTTCTTAAAATTTAATTTCTATTTTTAACAGACTAAGCCAAAGTCACAAGCAGGATTATGTGGTTAGACTGTCATCTAAAAGATATTTAATGAATTTTCGAGAAAAAGCTCGAATTACTAGGAGATATATCCTGAATGTTTTGAAACAATTTGAGGTGAAAATACTGAAAAAATATTTTATTATATTATAAGTATTCTCAGTTTTTATTGGGGAAGTGAAAGCTATTCTCTTAGGCCTTGAGAAGTCAATTGAACGGAAAGACAAGAAAGTTGCTTTCTTTGTTGACTCACAGGCAGCCATTTTGTCTCTTCAAAATGGATATAATATAAATCCAAATGTTCCTAAATGCAATCAATATTTGAACTGATTAAAGGAAAATGGGACAGAAGTCGCTTTCCAATGGATACCAGGCCATTGCGGGCTCCACGGAAATGATGAAGCTGACAAACTGGCCAGAATAGGTTCTGGAATGATCCAACCCGATATTCCTCTGGCCATGGATTCAACAAAAAGAATCATAAAACAGACCCTCCAAAGTTCACTGAAAGAGAAATATGTACAAACAATTGAAGGGAAACGATGGAGTGGATTACTGGAAGAAAGTGGCAGGATCCCTAGAGACCTCCCTAGAGGGCAAGCCGTGGCATGTTTTAGAATGCTCACAGGCCACGATTTCCTTCAGAAGCACCTCCACCGCATTGGTGTAAAAGATAGCCCGACATGCCCTCTTTGTTACTTAGACATGATGACAGGAGAACATCTTGATACATGCCTTGCATTACAGAACATAAGATGTACCTTTAATGAAATGGACAGCCCTTATGCTCGGAGAGCAAAACTGTATTGGACTGTAAGAGCACGCATGGCTAATGAAGCAGGCGTTACTCAGGCATAGGAAAAGCAAAGTTTTTATTGGTTTCATATCAGAACATCTGTAAGTTTGTCATGATATGTGCTGAATATAAATTGTCAATAGTAGAAGAAAAAAAAATTGTTAAAATGAAATAATAATTTAATTTAAAAACTAACCCAACTACAGAAATAAACCAATCTATTTTAAGGAAATGTACATACATATCTACTTAAACAAATAGATAGTTTGTTAAGCCTAGTACACACTAGTAGACATTGCATGATTTGTCTATAGACATGTCTATAGACCAATCCCCGTTTACAGGCCTGTTGCGAGACCAAAAATCGCAAGTCTAAAGTCTCCAGAACGGAATGGGAGACATTATGCAACATTAGACATTTTACGCAACATTTCGACAGTGTGGACTTTCAGACGCAAGACACTTCCCAGTCTGCCTCCAGCTAACAAGTGGTTTGTGGGCGGGATGGCCGAATGGGCTAATGTGTGTGCACAGCACCACTATTGCCCGGCAACCTGATATATGATACAATGATAAAATATAGTCACGAGTTTGTGTTCAGGTGCCAGGGGCGTCTTTTAAATCACCGCCCACACTCCCTGGACTGGGAGAATCCCGTATAGTCTTAAAGGCGAGGAAAGGGAGGAGAAAAAAAAAAAATTGTTGTAGTATTTGGGTTTCTTCCACAACACATAATGGTTCCTGACAAGTAGGTTTTGTCCCATCAATCGGTGTAAGTCAACATTCAAAAGAATCTTGAATTTTATTTGGTAGTGGAAGGTATGTAACTAATGCATCAAATTTAAATATTCATAGATGTGTATGTACATCATCCCCTTAGGATGGACATAGTTATTTCTGTAGTTGGGTTATTAAATTAAATTATATTCCTAATTTGTTTCATATGTCTTTTTTTTATTTTATTTGAAAGACTGTAAAGAGTAATTTCTACTAAACGATTAGAAACTATAAGAAATAACATAGAATTGACACTTTTTTTCTTGGGTTTTTTTGTTTTGATTCTAGAAATAATAAATGAGTGATGATAAATTTGGTTAATTTTTAGAGATATCTGGACCAAAAATGCAAGGCTATATATACCTAATTATAGTTTGTGAGTATGGAGTATTTTTTTACGTATTTCTCAAATTCTTTCAAATTTGAAAAATATTATTTATGAAAATAATCAGAGTTTATAAAAATTTTCAAATGCTTAATTAATAATTAAAAAAAAGAAGATCAGATTTAAGATTTAAAACCCTAAAAAAACACAAGATTTATTAAATCTCATGCAGCTGAACAAAAAAAAAATTATGCAGCCCTCTGAAATATATAATCATTCACATTTATTTTCTTTTACTACAATTCAAAGTAATTAATATGAATTGTGACATCTGGCATAAGCATTAAACCCATAAGCTTGTCATCAAAGCAACAGTAAAAATGTTATATCCTGTAATAATAATTTCATTACATGAATTACCTGTTGTTTGCTATTATCAGAAGAATCAGGCAAGACAGGACCAGCAGGTGCTGGAGATATGAAATCGATTGGAGCATTTTCATTTCCCTCAACTAGAAAAAAAAATTTAAATGATAAAAAGTAAAATATATATATATATATATATATATATATATATATATATATATATATATATATATATATATATATATATACATACATACCAGATTGAAAAAAATATGATTTAGTAGGTAAAAAAAAACAAAAAAAACTACTACAACAACTCAAATCTTGGGTTCAGTATTTTCTAAGGAAGTACTGTTTAGTACTGTCTTGGTCAACAGTTGATCGAGATCACAACCAACATAGTGAGTAAGGTTATTGGAAAACTGACACAACTGAAAATTCCAGATTTTGTTCTATGAATTTAACAGTCAGGCATGTTTTTGATAGAGACAAATGCTCAATATTATGTTTAACTTGATGTAATAGTATCGAGTATTCAAGAAATCAGATTATTTATAATTTATAAGTGCTAAGTATGTCAAACCTCTTAGGTGTGTTAAATCAGAGATATTTATTTAACATTCATGCACACTCAATTATAACACACTGGAGTCTGTTAACATGTGATAATTTCATAATGATACGGTTATTATGAAGTTTTTACCTTACTTACATTATTTTTGTTTTGAGGAATGGAATGGAAGAAAATAATTCTGAAGGAATCTGGATCAGAATATTTATGGAATGTTGAACAAAATAGGACAAACATCACTTGTCTATAATTACAAAAAAATCAAAGAAATTAATTTTTATTTTTAAAGGTATCAAATTTAATTTTCTACACTTACATTAAACTGCACAAGTAATAACAAGTGTCCAAATAAAAGAAAAAGAAGCTTTAAACATTAAAATCAACAAGTGAAACCAAAGTATAGCGAGTGGAGGTTTGAACTTTCTATAGCTAATTACACTCAAGCAATTTAGCAAAGTGGGTTTGTTCAATACAGATTCATGCTTAATACATAGAACAATAACAGGTTGAGCATTTGTCACAAGTTCCGTGAATAACCTTAAATTAACAGTCAAAAGTAGATAGCTAAACAAAATCCTTATGGTTGTGGTAAGCTTTAAATGTCAATTAGCTTATCTCAAGTAGATTGAGAAGCTTTGTTTTCAGGTGTGTTTATAGTTTATACTGTGTATGTAAATTGTAATATATATATATATATATATATATATATATATATATATATTTAACAATAATATTATAGTATTATATTATAATAATTGTAAAATTATTTACCTGGCGGAGGAATGAAATAGTTCGTTTTCATGACAGAGGGAACACTTGGCACCAACTTTGCAGGAGGTAATGATTCATTTTTATCAGGATTGCCCATAACGTCCACATAATTTGACTTCATTACTATAATAAAAACAACATAAATTTAATATTTTCTAGTCATATTTTATAAATTCAGTGCCACTTTATTTTGTTTTATTTAATAGATTTTAGGCTAAAGATCACCAATAAAATATGTTTTTATAGCATTTCTTTGTTTGCCAACATTTCGACTTCTTGAGCCATTTTCAAGAATTTATCATGCACCATTTTATAAAAAATTATTAATATATCATAATTATATATTTTGCCATATGCTTTTTTTTTTCCCAGAGAATTTCGTAGTAATTTCTACTTTATATAAGACATTAAATCTGATGTTTCTTTACTATCTGGATAGTAAGGTCAAACCTAAGGTTGACTGAGCTTTTTACATTTCTCTAACAGAGTTAAGGCTTAATTTTTAAAATAATATTCAAAGTAAACACCTAAAAGATGAGTACAGCACTCTATAAAAGGTATGTAATAAAAATGTATTTTATATTTTTAAAAAAAATTGGTGCACATCGCACAACTTCTACTCACCTCTCTCTTCTTAGTAGAAATAAGTATTTTCAAACAAAGATGAAGTGAAAGTGTAAAACTTATAGATGCTATATTTATTTATATTTCATTTATATTTTTATTTGTTTAAATACCCTTATATATACAAATTTTAATATTTATATCACTATAATCTATACAATTAAATATTAAATAATAACAACAATAGCATTTATGAGAACCGCATATATATATATATATATATATATATATATATATATATATATATATATATATATATATATATATATAATGTCCATAATATTGTCGGAGTCCGTATTATATTAAAATCATGCTATGTATTAAAAGCCTGTTCTAATCTTTTGGGCGAGCTTGGGGGCGCTTGTATTTCTTTGGTTCCTCCATTACGATCTCTTATTTCTACTTTAGTTAATTATCAAATTCTTTCATATCATCTCTACAGCTAGAAATCAATGTGAAGTGGCTAATTGCTTACAAAGGCGGACCTATAGAAATGAGGGGTGAGGAGCTTTCAGACTGAAGCCCCCTCCCCTCCTCAAAATGGTAAAATATAACGTGTTTTAAGGAAAAAAATATTATAAAATTATCTCTCAAAGTACTATTGTACGTGTAATCATATTTAATAGGACTTCAAGAAACACTTAAAACACCATTTTGTATAGGTAGTTGGTTTCTTTCTTTTTCTTCGAAAGTAATTATCGTTATATGTGAAAAAAAAGTTTTCGGGCTTAAGCCCTTCTCCCCAAAATGAAATCTTGGATCAGCTAGTGATAGATAGATCCACTACATGGTATTAAAAAGTGCTTAATTTTACACTGATGTAATGAATTCAATCAAATTAGTTATAGCTGTTTTGGAAAAATTGTAAAAATGTGTTATCGATGATATTAAGCGCCACCCGGAATGGCGAGGTTGACAAAAAAGTTTCTATAACATACCAGGCATATAAAAACTATAAATATGCAATTTTACTTTTGTACGACTTTGTTTTTGAGCAAGACTGTTAACAGACACACACACTAGCATGTGCACACTCACACACTCAGACCATTTTACGGGACTTGGTTATTTGGAATCAGGGGACCTCAAAACGTGTAGTTCCGTTGAAAACTGAGATTCAAAAATTTTCACAATTTCAATACTTTTCTATATATTTCATATATAGGTAAGTGAAAGTAAAAATAAAATAAGTCAATGACTTCAATTATAGAAAAAAATGTTTGCCAATTAAGGTAAGTATAGCTTCCTCACAATTTTCATTTTACAATTACATATTCTTTAAGGTCTATAATTTTTTGTTTTAACATGAATTCGATGGGAGAAGCTAAGAGAAATTTTTCATTCATTATACCTTACTAAGAAAATTCATTTATACAGTAAGCGAAAGTATTGGCTGGAATTTTACAAAATTGATTGGAACCATCCAGGCAACAGCCTACATAACCTCTTTCACGAAAATTGGATAAACGATATGTCCCTCACATGGATTTGATTACAAACAGACATGAAAATAAAGTTTTTCTTGATTTTTAAAACATAAAATGCTAGTAGAAATTTTTGATTCTGAGCACAAATTCTTTTAATCTTCCATACAAATATAAACCTTGCCTACCCTAGGTAGCAAGGAAGCAAAAGATGTGTTTCAGCGTTGATATAAAGTGGCACTTCCGGTTAGCCGATTTTAAGGAAAAAGTTGCCAGGACATCTAAGGCATATATCTATCTTAAATATGTAATATTAGTTTCGTATGACTTTTCGGTTTCTAGCTAGAGTGTTCACATACACACAGACCATTTTTCAGGAATTGGTTATTTGGACTCAGGGGACCTCAAAATGTGGATTTCCGTTGAAAACTCAGATTCAAAAATTTTTATGATCGCAATACTTACACTTACTATATATTACATATTTAGGTAAGTGAAAGTAAAAACTACTATACTCAAAGATATTTAGCATTACATTTATTTTTAAATTTGTATTTTATTTCATTTATTTGTAAGGTAAAATGAAAGTTACAATATAGAAACTTACATTTGCCCTTCTGAATCTTATATTTGTTAGAATTCTGAGGAGGGACATATTCAGTGACTTTTGGTGGAGGTTTAAAATTTCCACCACCTTCACTTTCACCATCCAAATTGACCCATTTCTTCTTCTGCTCATCCCAAATTATCTAGAACAAAATCACAGTCAATTAGCAATTAGGGAATTCACAATAGTGTTAAAATTCCATGACTAACTTTTGCTACAATACACAGATCATATTTATTAAGAGCAGCTTACCGAAGGATTACTGTCATCAGGCAATCTCATTTGATTCTTGGGACGCATAGCAATTTTTTCCCAAATTCCTCCAAACCAACCACCACTCTGTTCTTCATTTTTTGCCCTGTTTTCTGACCCTTTAGTGTCCTTTTTCTTATCACCACCCACTTCATTCAGCTACAAATAAAAATAAAATACAGCACATAATTCAAATTCTCTGTTTATAAAAATAAAAAGGTTTTTATTTAACAAAAACTTTTTAAGTTCTAAGCATATAAACTGCTAAGTAAGCAACTCAATATTTCAGAGCAAAAAATAAATTAAGAAGTATCTAAGAAGGTAAATAAATACAGCTTGGCATTCATTGATGTACATCAGTAGTAAACCTATTTTCCTAATGGGGCAAAATTGATAACTCATTAATTTAAACAAAAGCAGGCAAATCTCCATAAAAAATGAGTAATGGCTTGTTAAAAATTAAAATAAAGTGGTAAAATTGGAAGCAGTTGGCTGCAGATTACTTACCACTGATGTAAATGGATAATAAAAAACAGTTCCTATTAACCAAAATCCTTCAACTTTGCTATAACTCAACAGCTCTATATCTTGAGTTATTAAGTATTTTCACTTAAAATAGACCCTAAAGATACATCAGACTGGAACTCTATTTCTCAATTTAATAATAATAATAAAGTCCCCCTGAATTGGGGACATTGCTACACCTTGTACAACACAGATAAAATAGATAGTTGATAGGAACAATGCAGTAATTCAACCCTACTTCCTTACAACCAAAACAAAATAAAAAAAAACTAAGCCATCAGCCCAGATTTAATTTATTTAATATAATAATTTCATTCAGTTCTCTTGATTTCTATTATCACATGGGAATTGATTGGATCAGAGGACTGGATATCTTGAATAATATAATAAGAACATTTTTGATATTATTGATAAAAAAAAAAAAAATTTATGAACACATTTTAATTTTCTTTGTTGTTTGTTAATATTGCTAGGGAGGTTATCAAGTTCTTATCCAGGTCTGGTTTCTATATTCCACTCTAAATAAGTGAGAAAACTGCATAACAGGATCCTGCTCTTCTTCACCAAGCCAATAGGTCTCAGCATGTTTAAAACTGGGTAACGAGAAGCATGATAGTTGAAAGTGAAGTGAAGTGAATAGTTAAATCTTGTTGCATACTTAACTGTTAACCTGAAAGGATATTTTCCAGTAGGGTAAGCTAATTACTTATAAAATAAACTGATCCTTCAACAAAATCATCAGTGATTTCACAAAATGTGTATAGACTTTCGTGATAATTATATTGTTCATACAAATAAACATCTTTCACTAATATAGCTTACTTCAAATGAATTAGGGAGAAAAAGGATTAATATTTAATGCAAGAGTTCTCGCACAGGTATGCTAGTCTATAAAATTTGAAAGTGACAAAACTGTGATGAAGTTCCTATTAAATGTTTTCAGGATGGTGTTAAATAAAATAAGATTTATGACAAGGCTTCTGTGTTACGAAACTAACTTCATAGAAAGATTTTTGAGGGCAGTAGTATTAATAAAATATCTAAAGAAGAACTCAGATTTATTCTGTTGGAAATGTTTGGGTTCATAAGAATTATTTAATGTGAATATGAGATAATATAGTTTAATATAAGTGATATAACAAAATATAAGAGCAATGTTATATGTTATTTTGTTCTGTAAAATGATAATTAATTGTAGATAAGGAAACGGTCTCAGAGCACTGGAATAAGGTACTGATATCACTGAAGATTGGATTCATATGAAATGAAAAAATTAAAATATGTACATACACAAATGTACTTATTTTATACATAAATAGGTAAAAGTATGAGCTAAGATATATACAAACATATTTAAGCTAAACATATACAAAAACTTATAATTTTGGACAATATTCCAAAACCATTTAAAAAAAAAAATAAATAATAATAATCCTATCTTTCATGAACATTTAGACATAGTCCAACAATTCCGCACTAAACAATTAACGAGATTCAATAAATATGGACCACACCTCGATAGATTAAGGTTCTAAATTCAATTTGGATATAAGAAGCTTTAAAAAAAATGTTAATACATATAAATCTGGCCCCTATTAATCACTATCATAACTATGATTTGTCATTATACTGAAATAGTCCAAAATAAGTGATTTTTTTCAATAAAAAGAATCATTAAAAAAATACAAAGAAACCTTTCAATAGGAATGGTCTCATTACTTCATCATCAAGAAAGCCAAACTATATTTATAAGTAAGGTAAGTTAACAAAAACAATACACAATTATAACTAATACCGACCAACTACTAAAGTTTTGATTTAATGATAAATAAATATTACCTTGGTTAATAAACTTTAAAAATCAAGAACTTCATGATGAGGATCAACAAGGAATAGAAGACAAAAAAAAAAAAACTTTTTTCATTTATTAAACATTAGCTAAAACTATAATACAAATTTTACAATACTATTAATTACTAATTGGTAAGTCATAAATTGCTTTGTGGCCTATCAGAGTGAAACTGAGATCTGTCCAACTTTCCTATTGGTTTATCTATTGGAAACGTTCCACCAAACACTATTTCAGGTTTATTAATTCTTTGCTTATGAAAATTGGCTGAAAGTTTAATCAAATTAGAACTATGTGAACAATAATCACTACACAAGAACCGGTTTGATTTATTTGGATTCGCCGAAACGAAAGATGAAGCAGTGGGAGTAACGATTCGAGTCTTGATGATTTGCTCGCCAATAGGTTTGACAGATAAGTCACAACTGCAACAAGGAGGAAGGGAACTACCCATTGGTATACTTACAACTTTCATCGTCGGTTTACTATCAACAGCCTGATCGAAAGCATGAAATAAATCACAACAAAAATTATTTCTAATTAAGAATCACACAGGTAAAAACTGTAGAATGCATAGCTTAATTATTAATAAATTTTTAAAAAAATTCTTTCATATTAAAACCAAAAAATGTTAATTATAAAGAATATTAAAGAAAAAGAAGAAGAAGCATATTAAATAAAAATTTAATAGCTATTAATGTGAGATATCACTGCATTCAGTATTTTATAATTCATTAACACATTGGATTAATACAGAGTGTATGCATATTAATCAATTATTAATGTATAATAAAAATTCAAATTCTCCAAAAAAATTACTAATAATAAAACTGAGAAAATGAGTGCCTATATTTTGAAAAATAACAATGTCTCTGTGTTAATTTGAAAAGAAAAAATCATGATTTTTAAAAACTACTTTAAGAAATAAATAAGCCCAAAAGCTATTGAAACTGAAAATAAAAAGTTAAATAAACATCAAGATTCATGGTTCAGCAATGTCATACCATAATAAAATTAAAAGAAAACTTGTTTCTAATAACTCTACTTCACTTAACTGCTTCTAAATTTAAGTTTTAATTAGTGACTAGTCTAGCATTCTGGATGTACCTAAGCATATATTTATATGCATTGGGTTGGCAAATAAGTCCTTTCGGTTTTTCTGTTTATTTTTATGTCACTGATGAATTAATTCCTAATGTCGATTGTTAACGTTAACTATATCTGTTAACTCTTGTTGAAACTAGCTTAGTATTGTGTTTGCTACTGCACTGTGAATATGGAAGAAAATATCATTCATTAACAGTATATTTTGTTGTATTATTTTAAAAAAGGTAAGCGAGCTACAGAAGATCATAGAAAAATTTGCAGTGTTTATGGGGATGATGCCTTAACCGAATGCACCTGTCAAAATTGGTTTGCCAAATTTCATTCAGGAACTTTTGACGTCAATGATGCTCAACGGTCTGGTCGCCCACATGAAATTGAAACGAGCAATCTTAAGGCCATTGTTCATAAAAAATCCCACCCAATCAGTGCCAGAGATTGCTATGGCCCTAAATGTGTCACACACAAGCGTAGAAAACCAATTGCACAAGCTCGGGCATGTTTCCAGGCTTAATGTTTGGATCCCTCACATGGTTTATTTTTCGAAAATCACAAAAAAATGTTATAACTTCAATACCACTTTAACTATCTACAAAAAATTTAGCAGGAATTTAGGACCACATAAACTATACAAAATGAGACCAACAGGACCTTCGTAAATAAATTACAAATGGAGATAAAAAATAAAAACCTATAAGGAGTTTTTGTTTATTTATTCCTTATGTAGGCATTAAATCAAAATACCATTTGTACGGCTTTGAAGAGCAATAATTCAGCTTTCCAAAGGACATAGAAACATTGAATTTGGAGAACATCCTGATAGCCCTGGAGCCAGGGCCCAAAAATCGAACCTTCGCCTGCAATCAGGTCGATTTTTGGGCCCTGGCTCCAGGGCTATGAAGAGTTATGAATGATTAGAAGAGTGTTGTGTACTACTAAGACAACACATGACATTATGCAGTTAATGAAAAGATGAGAAAAAGTCATATTAAATAATGGTCAATATATTGTAGATTTTTTTTTTTTTTTTTTTTTTAACTATCTTTATTGAATATTAATACATTCTGCCACATTGAAGGGCATATATTGTAGATTAAAATAAATTTTATGTCTATAATACATTGAGTTTTATTTCACCATGAAAAACATAAAGGACTTATTTGCCAACCCAATATATATAAACATAAATTCTCTACTTTTTACTTTATCCCTCCTACAGAGCTTCAAATGAATTTAATTAAAAAAACAAACTTGGACACTATTAAAATTAATTCTTTTGATAAATATCTTTGATTAGTACTTCGAAACTTAAATATTAATTTCTATAAATTAATTTAGAATATATCTTTGATTTTAGATACATGTTTATTAATTTTATATTTTAATGCTTATTAAAACAGTTAGTTGAAATAAATTATTTTATATGTATGCACGTAAATAAGTTAAATACCGATGATACATTAAATATTTATTATAGGAAAAAACATATAATCAAATCTTATACATGATATTTTCAAAATTAAAATAACAGGAAATATAACCTAATCAGAGTATGATGGTTGAGACGAATCACAATGGTCCATCATAAAATAAAAATAACCCTCACAATCCAAACTTGAACTGGTACTACTTCTGACTCAAGAATGACAGAGTTTTGCCACAAATCATTTAGTCACCATAATTTTGGTAAATTAATACAACTACAGGTGCACGACTTACATGAATATAGACCTTTTAAAATTTATATTACTAAACACACACACATATATATATGTATAGATGTATACCCTACAAACATTAAAGGCAAACAATAAGTAATATAAATTGACTTATAAATAAATAGAAAAAAATCATGCTTAAATCATCCAAGTAAAATTAAAATAAACATAAGAAATCTAAATACTTCTTCACACTTACTGGAATAACAACTTCATCCACAGGACATAAAATATATTAGTATGTTTTTATTTATTATTTTTCATTACTATACACATACATCCTAGCTATACAAAAATGCCAATCTTAAGTTAACATAAGAATGAGAGTGTCACTTTTAAGATAAGTGTATAAAGCTGAAATTGGATTTTCATTGAGAATGGCTTGAAAGGTTAAATTATTAGTCTCTAAATAAATTTAACAGTCTCAAGTCATATTTATGAAAATAAATGGACTATTGTCAATGTGAAATAAGGAATGGATATAATTAAATTATGAGTTTATAATGGAGCTGGATGATGATGACGATGAATGATAAACTTACAAGTTAAAAAATTGAGATTATAAACAGGACAGCCTCGTATCATTTTTGTTGGCATGGAAGAAAATTGGAATGAAGAATCCAAATGAAGACAACAGATTGGAAAGGATTTTGACTAAAACCAATGCATTTCATTAATTTTAAACAAATATATTTTCTTAATTTTGTTATTCTATTTATCAAAACCCTATTATGTTCCTCCGGTGGAAGAATGACGCAACTGTAAATAATACAATTTTATAGATGAGGCAAAATAATTAGAATCATTATATATATGATATATACATTTTTAAATTGATTGTACCAGTTTAAAATTCCTTTATCCATTCAAATTTTGGTTGTATTATACTATGACATTGATTTGATTAAACATGTCTTTCAGACAATTAAAATAAAAAGAAAGAGGAATCCACTGAAGGTCTGAATGGTTTGATTTGGAGAACTAAACAGCGGCATAAAAGAAAAACGGGGCTTATAAGAAAATGATAGAAGAGCACAGAACTCGCCAACTAGTTAAGGAATATATATATAGACAGAAGAAGAAAAGAGAAATATACACATAGAAGAAAAAAAACAAGAAACATAAAAGAAATTGAAGAACTAAGAATCAAAGTGGATACTAGAGCCTTCTACAGAAGTGTAGATGCCTAATTTAAGGAATTGAATCCTGAATCCATTGCTTGCTGAGGAGAGGACATTAGTTGCTGGCAAAGAAACCATCCTTGGCAGATAAGTCACTTACTTTTAGAGGTGTTTTGGGAACTTCCCAGGGTTCCAATGTAGAAGATGTAATTCCTGTTCTATGCAATGACTTAACCACACATCACTTTTTTATAGATTTTAGCAATGTATATAACAGTATCATTAGAGCAAAGTTGTACCAGGTTATAGAAACAATGAATATTCCTCTTCAACTGTTTCCTCTTAGAGCTACTGATGAAAGGATACAGATGATATGTCACAAAACAGGGAGACCTGTCAGAGACATTACCAATTACAAGGGACCTGAGACAAGATGGCATAGCATGCCTACTATGTAACCTAGAACTAGAGAAGATGGTAAGGGGCTGCGAGTGCAAAGAAGTGATACAATCCTTACCAAGCCAGTTCAAATTGATATTGATATTGCAGCCAGAGCAGAAACAAAGACAAAATTCATCAATTCGAGATTTACATGATCTATCTGGAAAACAACCATGTTGAATGTTAAGTGATTACAAATATATTACATATAAACAATACAAGAAACATATTTGGTAGAGTTAAAATGGATTTGATTTGTAGACCAGAAAGCAGGATACAGAATGCAGTTCATTCAGAAAGACCCAGGACAATCCAAAGATCAGAAATATAGAAAACAACATATGTCTGAGAACTCTAACAATGACTAAAAAACTGAAACAAAAATGGCCACCATTTGTTGACGGGATATAATAATTATCATCAAGGAGTGAACCTACAAAGTATGAAGTTTTTCACACTTAATGGGAGTGGTCAAGTGACCATTAATTTTTTTTCTTTGACCACATTGAATGTATCGACTCTTCTGTTAGGCTAATGAAGATTCAGTTTTCCAAATTTATCTAACACCAGACTAATCTGTCCATACAAATTATAAGTTTAACACTTTTTCACGGAAATATTATATGGTAAAATTTTATGATGATTTTTCATTAATTGCCTCATTATAAATAAATTATATGTAGAAAAATAAATATAAATAAGTAGATTAAATGTATGTAAAAATGTTACTAAACACAAATTATGTCACAAAATGGAACCTGTGCACACAACATGTACCCTTTGCAGAGTTAGAGTATAGTTGATTAATTTTTATCCTTTATAAATGAAATATATAATTATACCTTTAACTGTTCCTCGGTTGTTTTAAAAAAACTGTTTCTTTGAGCTTGTTGTGGTTCCACAGAAGGTTGGATAACTGGAGGCTGTGCTCTTGCTGGTTCTCCCCATTGCTGGTCAGATCCACTTGATATTTCAATGGGACCAGGCACTTCATTATTAACCGCATGTCCTGTTTGGTAACCTGTAACATAATAGGAGATAAATAAAAAATAATTTATATATTTTTATTACAGAAGTTTTCATTGAGCAGACTTTTCTAACTTCTCTGATGCTGCAGAATCATAATAACAATAATTTATTATTAATAATTCAAGGACAATGACTCAACAATATTTATTCTACAAATTGTGTATATTTTTATTTAGGGAATATAAATTATTAGTAAATGAAATCATTCATAATAACAAACATTATTCATAAAGTAATGAGGTTAAAAAAATATATATATATAAATTATGAGAAGGAGTTAGTCGAGGGTGCGGTCAAATAAATAAAAAATTAAAATATATTAATTATTTTAATTTTTGTCGACGTTTCGACCCACTTTGTAGGTCGTCTTCAGAGCGTAGGATGTGGCACTGCGGAAGGCAGTTGAAACACTCTACATCAGTGTTTCAACTACTGCACAAGTATGTGGTGATCTTCCATGATAGTTGAAAACCAAAGAACTTAATTACAATTTCTAAGTAAAGAAATTTAATCGTGTAAGCATCCCTTCAGTTTAATCTGTACCTAAAAACCTTGACCTACCTCATGCTCTTTTAAGCTACAAAGATTTTATTAAATGTTACAACTTTATCTAATTCTAATCACCTAGGAAATCTTATTTAGGTTAACATTGTATGCACTTGCAATCGTAACTTAAAATTATATGCACCTCTCGTGACTATCCTTCATGTATGTTTAAGATAATAGTTAGAAAGGATAAGTGTTGGGGTGCTGGCTGGCAACTCCATATTGCAAACAATGAATTCATTAATGTACTCAGTATTCATTTGTCAAAATGTCAGAATTCATTAAGTAGTTAACAATGTTTTGCTTTCAATCCTACCCTAACCATCTTTTTCATTATATTTACATTAAACTATTTTACATAAAATAATTATTACAATTTAAAAAATATATACCTGAGGGTATTGATGGAGGTGGTGCAAAGCCTTGATGATAAACATTTTCAGTAATTTCAGGTTGAAACTGTAAAAAAAAAAAAAAAAAAATTGAACGTTACTAATATTTTAGTTAACATTAATTTTGATTTTTCATATCATGCATTTAACCTCAATCGTTTAAAATATAGTTATATACCACACGATACAGAGACAATAAATACCTTTTATAGCAGTTATATATTAAAAAATAAACGATATTATGAGGGCTTCACTTTAGGAAAAAAAGTTTATCATGTTTAGGAGATATGATTTTTAAAAGACAAAATAAAAAACATGTTATATGGCATTTTTGACATTGAAAATTTTTTTTGACCCAGAGGTCTCTGAAGTATCAGCCGAAAATCAGATACTGAAAATTTGATCCAATTACATTGCCTTTCTCTTAAAACCATCTAACATTGGTCAACTTTTCAGATAACAGTTGTTAAACATACATATTTACTTATTTCCTTTATTTTATTTCTGATTTTATCTATCTTTGTTTGACCTGACGAAGGCTCGAAAATCGTGGCAAAATGTCGGTATGGATTAAAAACTGATGTTTTTTTATGTTTGTTTTATTTAGAACCTTCTTCCTCCCAGCTTCCCCGTCTGCTCAATAAATATTTGCTTTGTGACAACTAGAAGCGTTTAGGTATTATGAAAGTTTGGAATGATGAAAATAGATTATTGCAGTATTCCTGCTGAACTTAGACGGTATATCTCAAGAACCTGTAATAAGTAGTTCTTAAAAAGTCCATTTTAATTTTCTAATGTTATAGTGGAATAAGGAAAGAAAAAATATGTATAAAGCCAGATAAATTAATGTGATACAGGGTTTATAGTTCAGCAGTTCACTGTAGGGATGTAGGAAAAATATATCGTAATATTAAAATCAAAATTTGACAATTTAAAACCAAGATTTTACAAAAATTATTATTTCTTTTTTTGAACTAATATTTTAAATAAAAGAATTAAAAACATACCTGTTGACGACCAGACTTCTGAGGTACAGGCATTTGAGGTGGCTGGAAAACTTGTTGCTCCATTGTGTTTATCATGGGAACAGGCTCATTATACAATGTTTTCTGCTCATCTGGAACCTGTTAAATAAAAAGCAACTAAGTTAAAATATGTAAATGGAGAACTTTTGAAATTTAAAGAATGAAATAGATAAACATATAGCTAAAAAGTAAAGACTGAGCCTAGTCATTATAATCTAAAGGGAGAAACAATAAAGTGGTGATTCAATTTTCCTTCTTCTCATCCTGTTAAAGAGATGCTCTGCTATATTGACTGTGTAATTATTGATTCTTGTCAATAATTTCTCACTTTGTGTGACAATCTGTGATTTATGTTGGATGTACTCCTTCTGAACCCAGCATATCCAGCTATATCCTTCATATAACTCAGGATTCAGGAGAAGTCTCACTGATGTTCATGCAAGAATAGAGTCTAAGATTGCCATCCCTTTTTGTTAATTCTAAATCTGTTGAGAACAATGTAACTGTACGAAAATATTCAACATCCAAAGAAGCTTGTTCGTTTAATGAGAATAACTATTGCAAATACAAACTGTTTGGTTCCTGACTGATTTCAATCAATAAAATTAGAAATTTATTAAATTATTTAATTTATCTATTGATTTCAAAGTAAATAAATACCTATCAAAACTATAAATTTTGAAATTCAAGCAGTAGAAAATTTACTAAAATTTATGAGCGTTTATTAAAAAACACAAACCTTATATGTTTCTTGAAGAAAGTCATTGTTTGGGTTTGGCTCAGGAATAGGCAGAGGTGAACAGTTATTACTACGAGGACTGTATTCATCCTATAATAAAAATGCTAAGCTATAATTTATATAATTATTTTAAAAATATACAAATAATTTTCAAATAAATATTCAATCTTTAATTCCCTTGGTAGATCAAAAAGAATTAAATATTTTTTAAATAATTAATCTAGGTTAAAAAATTTATCACCAAAATAATAAAACAAAACATATATTTATGGATTAAACAATTCAGCTTAAAATGTTTTCCAATAATTATTTTTAAAAGTTAAGAAAGATTGACTCAATAAAATAAAAGTATCTTCCATATTAACATGGTCCAATGTTAGACAAAAACATGAGTGCATAGGCCAACTTGTTAGTGAATATGATAAATTTTTCTATAGCTAGATCTCAACATTATCCACTTACAGTTAGTTTGACGACCAATGGTAGGAAATCAAAAGCTTGTAACTCTATTTTGGTAAATTTTACAAGGGAAAAAATAAGAGCTAAATACATGTAAAAAGAGATAGAAATTTAGTTCCTATAATTTTTACTATGTACAACAATTGTTCTTTATTTATAGATTAAATATCATGCATGTAGCTCAGAGAAATGTTATGTGGTTCAAATAGACCAATGGGACTACAAGATTTTTATTATTTACCGTCGGTATAATAAATAGAGTCTAGGTCATTTTGATGGTGTTAATGAAATGAAATGAAAATATTTGTTTATTATCCTGGGACTGTTGTCCCTTTAGAACAAATTATAAGTATAGAGAAAATGCCTGTGTGGCCATACATTAAGTTAAATCAAAATAATATCTAAGTAAAATAAAAATAGAGGAAGACAAAAATAATAAATACAGATATATAGAGAATAAACATAGGAAAATAGAATAACATAAGTGAACAAAATAGTTTCTGGGAAAACTTAAGAAGTTCTTTTATGTATATTTCTTGATCAGTTGGGTTGGGAAAGGAGTACGTGCTTAATGATGATAATAATTTTTGGCATTAATAAATATAACCGAAATTCACAAATATGTTCTTTAATTATACAAAAAATAATACTTACTGGGATAAATATTTATTTATTTCTTGAAATGTGCTTACACTAAGTACTTCTATGTGTTTTTTAATTTCAAATTAGGATTTACAATCAGATTGATATACTTAAATCAATAAATAGAAAAAGAAAACAAGAATTATGTAGATTGACACACCAGCTCAGTATGAGTATTATTTGGAAGCACAATATTTATTTTATAATTCACAAGGGGATTGTTTCAACAAATTGCCAGAGAAATTGAAAATGAGATTAAAAAAAAATTAACAATGGATAAGAAAAAGAAAACAATAGTTGAAAAAAAAAATTGATAAAATAAAACAAAAGACAGAACATTGCGTTAAAAGTAAAATTAAAGTAGAGAACAAGACGACAAACATCAAGTACTGTAGCGGTATAAGCTGACCGGACCCGATGATTGTTCATCCTCAAAAATATTTTGCTCCCCAGACTCTAGTGTACTATTTCTATGTTAATGCTAATGCTAGGACATGATTTTTTCCCATCCCATAATTGCTTTTTTAGCTATATAGGACTTTTTCTAGGCCAGGGCAGAGGGTAGGGGATTAATACCACATTTCAAAACTGCCTGGCACCAGGATTAAAATCTTTAAGTTATGAAGTTGCCGAACAATATGTATTTTGCAAAATGTTAGCCCTCTTGACCATCTCCCACCCTCTCTCTGACATGATATGACCAAGATCACGCTATACCACCAGTTTATTCCTCTTAGTTGATTAATTAAGAGTATTCACTTTATAAAGGACGAGAGTGACCCTTTAACAGAATAAATGATTACTGGTCACACCCATACATGAACCCAGGACTGGGCATAAAAAAAAAAAAAAAATAATACCAGTTAGTCATTTATTTTTAATAGTTAAAGATATAGATAATTTATTAACAACTAATGTGAAGAAAATTTACTGGAACATTTCTTGAGAACTGTTTGAGGCTGGAAAGCCAATCTGGATCTCTATCTGTATTTCCAGAAAGTGCCAGCACCGGATCGAACATTTTCAACCTTGATGAGAAATCAATAACAGTTGTGACCAATGACTTCAGAACAGGAGCTGTACCACTAAGCATTTCTTGAGCAAGGAGCTCACAATACTGTAAGGCATTACGGATTCTTCCACTGTCTATTAAGCGGGCAGCCAAAATTAATTTGTAAACCTGGAAAGAAAATCATTATATGTTTTTTTTTTTTACATCAAAATATAAGAACATTATACTGTGATCACATACAAAAAAACATGTAAATAAAAACCTGTAGAGTGGGAATGCTGAATGCTGGTTGCCGTAATTTTAAACCATACTCGTAACACATGGTCAGCATAATAGCTCTGCAAGAAGCAAATTTTGAAAATTCTTGATTAGGGGATGAGCCTAGTAAAACCAGTTGGGCATCTGGTCTAAATTCAGAAAATTCAACTTGGGCAGTGACATAACAGAAATGGGATGCAAACAATCTTCCACTGGCATCTAGAAATTAAGAACACATACCCGATTTATTAACAAAACTACACAATAATAATTTGTTGTTGGTAGAACTATAGAGATATTCATAACAAAGGATAAATTTTCAAAATATAAACTATGCATAAGGAAAAAAAAATCATGGAATGAAATAAGTTAATGAATTAAGTCAATTTCATAAAATTTTATTTCTATCTTGGTGAGTACACTGAAAAGTGAAAAATATGACTTACAGTTAATTAATGAAAATTTTCCAAAATAAATGATGAGCAATACTTCAGTCCAATCTTTATAAGAACTGTTGATTGAACTACTTAATATTTATCAAGTAAAGTAAGACATATAATTTAACAGAAAAATATGTTGAATTACTTCACTCATCGAAAATCAATTTCTTCAGTAAATCAAAAGTCAAAGACGGAATAAATAATACTTATTAATGATCTGTGTTAGAGTATATTTGCTGATGTAAACTTTAATATTATAATGCTTTGACAAGAGATACTAGATATTAGAAGTAAAAATTTAGGAACTTATTAGTTTGATGTAAAATTTCCAATAATATATAAGTCCAATATAAGCAAATTTTTAAGGTCTTCTCTAAAATCTTTTACTTTAGAGGTCTTTCTCAATTAACAATTTGAGTAAAATTTTACAAAACACAAATTTATTTTAACACATAAATCTATCTATAAAGGAAACTTATCTTTAAATAACTTAGGATACTTTTAAACTTCTTTTTTTTCCATTACCCCCAATTTTAACAGATGGTGGGGGAGTAATATCATACAGAAAACTAATCTATTTTAACCAGAGTGGATACTTTCAAACTACCTATCTTGGTGGTTATTCACTATACTTTTACTTTATTTTCTAAAATATGTTTTAAAGAATATTCTACTTACTGAGAGAATCTCCTAAAGTAATAATTGCCTGTCTGTCTAGATTAACATTTCCAGTAGGATTACTTAAAATCATAGCAAGATGAGGCCTCCAGTCAGACCATTTTTTATCAGCACAACACTGTCAAACAATCAAACTACATTACAAAATAAATAATAATAATAATAATGATAAAAAAAGGCTAAGTGGACACAAAGGTTCGATGCAGCTACCACCAATTGCTGTCTACATTCTTTCGTAAATTGACTGGTGTCCAAACCCAACCCTTCAAATCAGCTATAACACAATCCTCCCACCTCCGCTTCAGTCTACTTCTTGGATAATAACCAATCGGTATAGCGTGACGCGCCTATTAACCTATTAGGAATTCATTTCCTTTTAAGCTCAATAATTTTACTTGCCACATAGATATTATAATATAAACAGTTATATTTACCAGGTACAGTTCGTGAGAGGGCAGCGGGGTGGCTGAGCGGCCTAATGTGTGCGCACAGAACCGCCCGTTGCCCAGACACCTGGTAACCGAAGTTAGATAGAAAAATATTACGAGTTCAAATCTCGGTACCCGGTGAGAATTTTAATTTGGCATATTCCCCCGCCCCTTCTACCGGACCAGGAAAAACCCTGAGTAGCCTAAAAAGCAAGGAAGAGAAGAACAAAAAAAAAGGTACAGTTCATGCAATTTTGGTATTGTATAGCTGTCCAAGTTCTTCACTCTACTTTTTCTCTAAGATTTTCCATAATGAAAATATTAGGTTCAATAGTTGAAGGGTTCCATCTAAAACAACAGGTTATGAGTTTGACAATTTCCTCAGCATATTTCATGATTCCAACATTTAGGATTAATGAGAATATTTTATGCATGCCGGAAGGAGTGAAATTCCTCGATAGTGGAATTATAATTGATTTTTTTCATACTTTGACAATTTTCTAATCCACCCAGATCTTTTTATCCAACAAATGCATTTGAGAAACTCCAACTTTGCCGCATGCCTAAATTAATACCCATTGTTTTATATGATTTAAATTTCCTGATGGCTATTTCAACTTATTTTTTATTTAGTTTTTCTATTAATGGTACAGCACTTTGGTACTGAAGGAGAAAGGGGGCTATTATTTCAAAAATGAAATTATAGGTAGAAAATAATAATATTTACTAATTATTCAAGTGACACAACTTTTCAAATAATTTTATATCAATTATTCCTTTTAGCCTCTCAACTTTTAAAGTAAGAATTTTATAAGCAAAAGTTGAGAAAACCAAAGGTGGTGCAATACTAATGAATTACAATTTATTCAGAGTGCTATACCGTTGCTGCTTGGGGAACAAAGCCAGACATCAACTGATAAAGTGTCTGAAGAGGATCATTATGAGGTATACTATTAGCAAATCTCAACATTATGTTGTTATGTGTCCTTTCGTCCATCTTAGAAGCAAGAAACAGTGCATGACCCCATGCATCATTATCAATTGCCCAATCTGAAAAAAAAAATAATAATAAAAACATTTATACTCAATATAATAAACACTACAATACTACAATTCAATAAAGTAATATAACTAATAGAGACTGTAGTGTAAATAGATTTTATCATGAAAATAGAATTATTTATAGTACTAAATAAGAATTTATTTTGGATAAATTATATAACTATAAAAACAAATCTTCAACCCATCCATTACTGATTTCACCAAGCATTTGATATATTAAACTAATAGTTAATATATAAAAAAGTTGCTCCCCCTCATTGATGAATTTAATTTGAACAGAAAATATATAATATAACATAACAAAAAAAGTACCCAATGCTTCAGTTTTATTTCCTTGTTGAAGTAATTCCCTAAATCTTGCAGTTACTTTTTTGCTAGAGACAGCTGGAGGACCTGCTGCATCTTCAGTAGATTCGTTTCCATTTTGGATGGACTTTTTATAACTATCCATTAATAATTCAGCTACATCACTTCCATTCACCTCCTTAAAACAATATAAATAATAATATAACTAAAATATGACACAATAAGTGAATTAAATAAATATTAATGAATAAATGCATTAAAACAAAATTGAATCTGTAATAGAAATTTATAAAGTACTAACTCCATTTCCTTTAACAGTCATATGAATGAGATCATACAGGAGTTTCTCAGAGCTCTTAACAGATCGGTCTGAAATTCTCTTGAGGTATTGAAGAACTGTATTCCTGTGAGTTACACCCCTAAAAAAAAAAAATGTATATAGAAAAATATATATTATTCCATTTAAATGTGAATTGACAAAGCATGGGTGATAAATATTCAAGACGCAGTCATTATAAAGTTTTTATTGATGCCGACGTTTCAACCCAAACATTTGGGTCATCATCGGGGGCGTGTTTGGGTTGAAACTTCGGTACCAATAAAAACTAGATAATGACTGCGTCCTGAATATTTATCACCTATGATATGTACAACAGTCGAAAAACTTCTTTTTTGAATTGACAAAAATGACATTAAAGAAGTCAATTTTAATAGCATTATATTAAAAATTATAGTTCGAAAAGTTTTTTTTTTCTTTATTCTTCTCTTACCCCAACAACAGGGTGGTTTTAAAAAAATTTAAATGACAAATATTTGACACAATGTTTTTCAAAATAGACTTTTGGATCCAATAACTTTAAGAACTGATCTCCACAATTTGATGAGAGAGAGAGAGAGAATCACAATAAAACTGCAAGGATACTTAATTGTATTCAGTTGGTAATTCATACAGTACACTCATCAGTCCAATTGAAAATGACAAAGAACAGAAACAAAAGAGATTTAGTTAGTTATATGGGACTAGTAGGCATACCAATAAAATAAACATGCTTTTGTTTTTCCTTACTGTTCAAAGAATGGACAAAGTGAAGAACAGGATTGATACAGATAGTGAGGAAAGCTTTCAATGAGTCTAGAATAATATTTTTTCCCATGTTCTGTAGATGGATATTTTTATTGCCCAGGTTTTCCAAAAGATTATTTGTAAGGGGAATGGTTAACTTACCTCTGAACCAAAGCAAAACCTTTTAACAATAAATTTCCTCACACTTAATTCTTCTCTATACTATTCTTGAAATTGGATAGCACACTTTGTATAGATGTTCACTTTTTCTGCCTGCATCTAGAGACCTGACCTTTTGTTTCAAATCTTATTTTTGGTCGCACAAAAATCTATACTTTATCATCTCCAGGAGTTTGGCTAATGGTTTCTTTATGTTATTGTGCCAATGAGTGATTAGGAGCATGTTATTCAGACATATATCCAATACATGAGCTGGAATTTCAGATTACCCACCATATTTTTGGTAGAGGCACAAAACATCTTTACCTAACCTCTGTTCTCTGGACATTTTGATACAGACTACCCTTCTATCATACATAAATTTATTATTCCATTGATTTGATTAAAAATGGAGCATACTAATTCCCTGCTGCTTGAATTTGCTCTAATCCTCAAACAACTTTCCCCTTAGAGATTGCCAAACTTTCTTGACAGTTAGTGATCCTTCTATATTATTCATGGATCCTTCATTATTCATGGCTATTAGATCAGCATACTTTTGTACTTCATCCTCAAAATTCAAAATCATGAAATAGAGCAATCGCCACCTGCCACATTGCCTAATTTTCCTGGAAAAGGAGTCTACCAATGATACCACAAAAGACCCAATGTGATGCGCATATTTTAGCTGAGCAAGTGTTGGTCAGTAACAAGCATTAGTTCATAAAAACTACATTAAATTAAATTATAAGAGATAGGAAGAGAAAAAAAAAAAATGAAACATAGAAATAAGATTAACTTACGGAATAAACGGACCAGGACTTTGGAAAAAGTCTTCTGAATCACTGTCAAGTGATATCTGTGAAAGATGGCATATATTTACAGTGGCTCGTTGTTTATCTAATGGATAATGGGGATCTACAACAATTAAGCGACCTTGTCCATCCATGTTTCCTAAAAAATATATTACATAGCATTAATTTTATAATAAAATATAGTTTTATTATAAAATATAACTAATTTTTATAAAATATTGTTAAAATATAACAATTAAATAATCCTTCCAACCTGTAAATTACATCCTTAAAAGCATCTTTGAGAAATTAAGGTTAGACTGAAGGCGGGAAATGCTTGTTATTTTTCTGTGACAAAACTACTTAGTTCGCGCCTCTTGTCCCGGAACTTAAAAATTAGAATCTATAAAACAATTATCTTGCCTACAGTTCTTTATGGGTGCGAAACTTGGCCGCTTACATTAAGGGATGAGCAGCGTCTTAAGGTTTTTGAAAATAAAGTATTGCGTAGAATATTAGGACCGAAAAAGGATGAGTTAACCGGAGAGTTCAGACGGTTACACAACGCCGAATTGCGTGAACTATATCCGAGTAATATAATTGAGATAATTTCATCGCGGCGAATCAAATGGGCTTGTAAAGTTGTTGGACTTAGTAATGAGAGAATTCCTAAAAGGTTAATATTTGCTGTGCCGAATGGTAAGTGTCCGAGGGGTAGACCGAAGCGAAGGTGGGAAGATTGCATTAAAGCCGATCTGAAGGGAATGGGTTTGGACGGCGAACGGTGGAGGGAGGTGTGTAATAAGAGATTGGTGGTGTTGGCATCGAACCTTCGGGTTCGCTAAGCCTTTTTATTTATTATTAAAAGCATCTTTGATGTTTAATTCAACAGCCTCAGCAGATTTTTTAAACTTAGGAACAATATGCCGATATTTTATTATAAGCAGTCTTAGTGGTTATAATAAATGAAAAACACTAGAAAAAAAAGTTAAATAAATAAAGTTAAAAATAACAGACATTAACACATATTAGTCCACATTACGAAAATTTGTCATTTCGCAAACAATCGCCAATAGCCAAAGGACGAAAATTTGTCATTTGTATATTTCAGAAAATAACTTTATTTTCCCCTTGTTTTTCAATCCACACCTGTTAATTACAATCATTGATTAATAATCAGCAGATCACGCTGGGTAAATAGTGAGAGCAGAAAATAACTGATTCTAGTTCTAGTAATTCTAAATAAATTAAATTCTAATTTTAACCAAACCGAGATTAAGAGATGGCAGCATTTTGTGAATAGCAGTGCAAAATATTACTGGACGAATATGTGTTAATAACGAATTTAATGAAACATTTTAAAATGTTACATGGAATTTAATTTTTATATTAATGTCACAGGAAAAATTTCCAAGGTAGATGCGGATTATTATAAAAAAAACAAATACAAATATTTTCACCCAAGAGATCAAAATTGGGGTGTATTATCAATTATAAGCTGACTTAAAAAAAAAAAAAATAAATAAATAGAAAAACTCAATAATTCCATACGCTAATTTAATATTTTTTATCAACAAAATAAAATGTTAGACAAATAATGATAACTGCTAAAATAATATCAATCCATTTTTTTTTCTTCTTCAAAAAAGTAGATTAAATAAGTAAAAGTAGAAGGTAAATAATGAAAAAAAAAAGTTATTTTTAACAACATAAATAAAACTTGATTTCTAACTGTTCATAAAAGTTCCTCATTATAAAAAGCATAATAATAGTGTATCAACTGAATGTTTGTTGAAGGAGGCTAAGAAAATATTTAATAATTTAATGAATAATCATTTAATTTTAAATGGGAAAGGTACAGTGACAAATTTAAGTCGAAAGAAGAGAGGTTTTACATGGGGAGAGAGGTGAGGGGAGGAGGGAAGTAAAGGCAACCATAACATTAATCAAACTTAATGGAGAAAAAAAAATGTTGAAAAAAAAATTAGAAATATATTTTGTATGACTATAACAAAACAGAACTTGAATGACATACAGTATTAAAAAGTGGATTAAAAAAAAATCTCTATAATGAAACAATATTTCTTATTTCAAAAATACCAAATAGGAAATACAAAAGCTTATAAAAACATTTCAGAATAGGAATATATGAAAAATGTAAACATGAATATATATCAAAATATAAATATGTACCTCTTATATGGGCACTGTCATACAATCGAGGAGTATAATCGACTTCTTCTTCCCTCGTAAGATCATCCACTGTTTCTTGAGGACTAAATGAAAAAAAATATTTTTAATATTAATGAAGAACATAATAGAATATTATTACTCATTTAAACAGTGTAATCAAGAAGATGGTATTAATAGAATTTACAGAGTTTGAACAAAATTATTACTAAAAATTGTACTTACGTTGATATACCCTGCCTTTGATGGGAAGAGCTCTGTCCTGAATGAACAGAGGCCCTGTCACTTGAAAAAGCACGACCAGAGGATTCTGCCCCGAACCTTCCCTGCATATACTGAGAATACCATGCAGCATAACCAGCAGGATCTAAAAGTCGCATCCTTTCGAAAAATTCTGCAGTTCGTTGAGAATATTTTAAATTATAATCATGAAAAGCATGTGGCCCAGCAGCATCTGAAAAACAACTAATTTATGAATAATTACATTAAGATGACTATTCATTCTAAATTAATGGAAAGTTAATTGAAGATACTAAAAGGTATAAACACATTCAACACTTAAATTATATTATATCAAAAAAGCAAAATTATCCAAGCAGGAATTATGACTAAAAAGATAAATCATTTTCAATATTCTCATATTATATTATTATTGATTTAATTTTATCATACCCAGATTAGATGATCTAGGTACTTGCTCATATATACTTGATAAATAAAATAAAAGACCATATGGAAAATCTTTCTATACGAATACTTTATGGAGGACTGGAACTGATGTGGTCCTTAGCAAAGGGATCATCATGCACAGAATGGCAGAACTCAGGGGGCAGCAAATTTTTAATGAACTGATATTACTAAATAAAAAATATTTGTTTCTACTTTTTGGATGTTTTCTTAACCTTAATCTAAGCAGTAAAATAAGTTAATTTGCATAATGATGATACTAATTTTGAAATATACTGCACAAAAATGATTAGGGATATTTCTATTTAGTGCTCATTTTATTTGTTTAAATTAAATTTCATATTTTTTTTGTTTGTTAGGGATTCTCTGGAAAACATAAAAAGTAAACAACAAATATTCTTTATTTTTAACAAATTATTAACAAGTGGTAGCTGCTTTACAAGCTATTTTAAGTACATATAAATATATACTTTATTCATTATATAAATTAGGCCATTATTCACCAACATTTTATTTATTAGCTATTTTATTACGACAACGTTTCGACCATCACTAGGGCCATTTTCAACTCTTAATTGAGTCCTCCTACTAAGTACACCACTTGTTAAAAGATAGTCTACAGTAAACCAACAGTTGTTTTAGACTTTTCTCTCAATTTTAATCCACTAACATTCTGTTAACAAAGGAAAGACAGCATATTGAACCAGACGTTCGCAATATTATCATGAGAATGAGTGGTCAAGGGCACCAGCAAATGGATATAGCCGATGCAGTTGGCGTCTCCCATATTGTGGTCTCCTGAGTTTTTATCAGATTCAGAAAAAACAGAAGTAGAGATCTGTTAGTGGATTTCAGAACATTATGGCAACAAGGCATGACAGAAATATTGCTGTCACTGCAAGAAACAACCTTTTCATAGTGTCAGACAGAGCCTAAATAAAGTGCTGAATGTTATGCCAAGACCCATACGTTTGTGGGAAGTTGGTTTAACATCTTAAGCCCATCTCAATCCCATTGAGCACATGTGGGATGCACAAAGTTTTTAGTGATATAAGGTTAAGAATGTCACTTAATGACTTTTGACAATAAACCGATATGTTCTCTATGATTACGTATTCTATGACTCAAATAAATATTAATCAAAAATCTTTTTTTTTCAAGGGCACAACCCCGAAAACAATATTTACAAAAAATAGAAAGAAAAAAAGAAGGGGCAAAGAGTTTCATCAACCAATCAACTTTTGGGAATATTGAAGTAAGAAACTTCAGAACTTGAATACATTGAATTTTGTGTACATTAATTAGGAGTGACCAATCTTCCTATATTCTGTTTTACAAAACATGCAATAATAATATGCTTCTATGGATGCCATTTGAACATTAAAGAAGTTTGATGTCTTCCATCTTGTGGTGCAAAGCCCAATCCCCTAAATGTAAAGGAATGGGGGTCTCTCTTAATTCCATTTGGTCTAATTTCACAAAGAAAAAAATAACAACTTAAAAAATGTATGAAATTATACAGAGATTTAGTTTCTATGGTTTTCCTACATAGAATAATCCTTACTCCTTTTATAGATTACAGATATCTATGACAAAGTATGTAAATTTCGCTTTATATATAGAGTGGAGAGCTCCAAATCTGGAGTTATGTGATTTAAATAGACAGATGGAGTACAAAGTTTTCATTGTCTACCATTAATATACTCATTTGAAAGCACATACAAAACATGTAATGTGAATTGGGTCCCTTCTTTTAAATTCCATGCAAATAGCTCTAAATTACTTAATTATATAAGTGGAGTGGTAAGTGAAAGTTGTGAGATGCATGCCGTACCAGTTTTTCTATTTTTTTATTTGTAGTAAGTACTATACCTAAATAAATACTCATCCTCCCCCCCTTTTTTACCCATCTTATTTAAAGTAAAAATGAATACCCATTAACAAGCTAAATTTAAATTCTCTTATAACTAAAAAGTATTTGGTAGATACCATAAAACTTACAAGAGTCTTGGTAGTAATGTCCATGCATCATTCTCATAGAATGTTTTACTTGATGTCTGTAATCAGACCCTGACCTTGAAGACGGTCTAGAACGTTGGTTTTCTCGATAATAATCATCATATTCTCGCCCATAATATCGGCGACTAGATCTGACAAAAATATCAAAAATTAAATTACTTAAGTAAATTGTTAGCAATAGGTCTTATTCTTAAAATTAGAGATTTATATATTGCCTTTAAAACAAAGCACTAAAATCTATGATCATTCGTAAGAACAGAAATGATTACTGTTTTAAAAGTATTTGGTTATTAAGAATATTTAATAAAAATAATCTTTTATAGAAAATTTCACTTTCTTTTAAATTAACAATTAAAAAATGACTGATTTATTGAATACATCTTCAATACTTAACTACATAAAAAAACAAACAACAGTCTTAGCAGAAGCAGTTGCCTGGCTTAATTCAAGGAGACATCAGGATATCAGCACTGCGATTCATCCTCCTAATTTATAACTAAAATATAATGAGATACTCATTTCAAGAGTCGGGAATGAGGTAGCTTAGTGGGCAAGGCACTAAACTCCTCTGAGTCTGAGTTTGAGTCTGGATGTGATAGATAATCATTTATTTCATTTTATCAGCAATGGATCAACCTAAGGTCGAGAAACTATCATAGTACTCTTAATATAGGTAAAAACCTGTCAGTTGAGCATGATTCAGGCCAAATAACCTAATTATATAACTTTACCTCCTTAAGTAATGGCATGCAGGAAACAAAAGACATACTTCAAATCAGTTTCCATCACTACAATTTGATAACTGAGAACGTTTAGTTTTTTCTTTAAAAAATTTGAACAGAAAGCTTTTTACTTACAAGCACAGTGATATTTTGAAACATGAAAAGGTTTGAATTTAATACAAGGAAGTTACTAAACCTAATTCTATATGTAATTCATTTGATGTAGGAGATTTAAATGAAATGCGCATCCCTATGATCTAAATATTATGACAAAAAGCTTTTATTTATCCAAATGAAAGACATTTGAAGAAATCAAATCATTGAATTGAAATGGCATCGCAGAAGCATATGCAAAACAAAGATGATAGTTAAAGATTGTTAGTTTAATGCAGTACTGTCACAAAAACAGCAGTTATCAAACAGAATATCAAATATGATTTTGACAAATATTGATAAAATAATTAAAATATAACTAGGATATGGAATTTAAAATACAATAGGATATAATCTTAAAAGTATACTCAAGAAACCAAAACAAGGACATTTTCAAATAATTGAAGAAATTATAACAAGCTTAAGAACAACAAAACAATACTGCTGAGATAAGCAAATTAAACAAAAATTAAATCATGCATACCTTGAATCATCAGCTCGGTAATCTCTATAGTCTCTATAATAACTTCTATCAGGACTGTATTCTCTAGTTCTCCGACTGGAATATATATTATAAAAATAACAAAAATACTTTGTTAGTTTAATATTAATGCCAACCACAAAATAGAAAAATATTAGATTTTTTAAAAATAAAATATCATGCCATGCTCAGAATAATATTCAAGTCAACGAAAATATTTTATATTACCTTTCTCTTCCACTACGGTGAAATCCTCTTCTTTCCTCATACTCATCATCACTTCTATACTCAGGAGATCTAAAACAACATTCATAATGAATCAAATAATTTAATTATATTGTTTAAAGAAGGGACCGTGGGGGAAGAAACCACAAGTGTCTGATTTCCTAACTTAAGATATTTTCATAAAAAATACTTAGGATTTATCAGCAGTACCTGTTCAGGCTTTAAATGGCAGAGGTTGTGATGACCGAGCGTATTGAGGCACTACCTCTTCAAATCTGGTTTCAGTGGGTTGAAATTTATTTAATGGTGGACCCAAGGAATAAATCTTGGCCTTTTCATTTTGGTTGGAAGAGGTTGGGTTGTACCTCTAGAGCCAACCTTCCTCCTCAACCTATATGCCAGAAATTGATAGATAGGAGGAACCAAAAAGAAAAAGGCTTTTCCCTTCCCTTCCTTTCCCTTGGTAAAAGGAATTGCAGATTGGATTATAAATAGCCCATATTGATAAAATGATAAAGCAGCCTATTTACGCAAACACAACGATATAATAGAATAATTAAAATTAAAATTAGACATTTTATTATGTTTGAAAATTTTTATTTTCTAGCATGATAAAAATTAGACCCTTGGGACAGCAACAAATGTATTTCCTTGTTTTGCATTGGAAGGAAAGTGAGCCATTAATGAATGAAAAACTTGCTGAAGAATTAACAAATTTATGCCCTATGACCACTAACTATTAACAAGTATGAACATCTCAAATTTTATTTAGTACAAACCTTGAATGAAGGTTTTAATGGAGAAAGATATATGAAGGAATGAGATTCTTATATACTTAAGGATTTTTCTATTGTAAACTAACTATCTAGAGCCTAAAATTCTCATTTTTTCTTAAATTTCAAAAGAGAATATTTGAAATTAAGATATAATGAACTTCTTTACACCAATAAAGCACCTTTGCTCTCGACGTCTTCTCGGTCTATCATCACGGCGACGATGATCATCATTTCTTCTATCACGATCACTAGAATAATCTCGCTCTTCTTCTTCATAACTGCTGCTAAAAATAAAATTATCTATTATATAATAAATCTCAAGAATTTTGTAATGTTTTCTATATAGATAGTAACATAAACTTTAAAGATTAGTTCCAATAAACCAAACTCCACCAATATTGGATAAAGATATCATTCATTATATAGTTAATGAGAACAACAGGAAAGAGACTATAACAAATTTAATTAATGATTTAGTCCTCAGTAGTTTCAGTCATAACATATTTTAGTACTAAAACATTTAAATTGTCACCAATTCAGAAATCTTCAGGGATTTGTTCCTTCATATCCTTTAAATAAGCCCTGTAAAACATTTTAATGGCTGATAGGGACAAAAACATTTAATTTTGTATTAAAAGGGCGGTGTGATAAGTAATTTAAAATCTTATCACTGCATCCTGCTTTTCTAGTCTACTTAAATTTCAGTTACCCATTAAAGTTGATAATTATTAAGATATCTAAAAATCAAATGCAGTTATTTTGTTTTATTTTGTGAGTTAATTCGAGATTATTTTGGTATTATTGAATTGGTATTTATTTACCATAATTAAAATATCATCTAAATATTTAATAATTAACTTTGATTCTAAATTTAATTTATTATAAACCGATTTATATAGTTAATTCATCACGAGTCCACTAATGCTAATAATTAGGGCACTCCATCGGTAATCCGTTCAGCTGATTACTGCAGCCTAAATCAATAATTAAAGTTAATTATATTCTAAAATTATAATGCTTAAGTATTTAAGTGGTCTAAAAAAAATAAAGTATTTTTTTAATGCTTACTCAGCTCTGCGATGTCTTTGGTGCCTTTTTTGTCTCCCAGATTGTCTATAATCGTCCGAAGTGTTGCCACCACTTTGCACTTGTTCACCCACAACCATTCTCTCTAATCTCTCTCGTTCTCTATCTCCTACAAATCAGAAAGGAAAAGTAAGTACAACTATACTATGGTAAACAAAAACAAATCAATGGTAATACATATCAAATATAACAATATAAAAAGATATATTGAAAATTAAAAAAAAAAGAGAGACAGGTGGTCTTAAGCAGTATATTTTTTATATAGTCAGTGAAACTGCTCTGGATTTTCCCCAATAGTGGGAAAATTTATAATCCCCATCATTTTATAGTTATTTTATAATATTAAGAAATTCACTAGCAGTGGGCTGATTCTGTCCATCATATATCATTAGGTTTAAGCAAAAGTTATATTATATTTTTTATATAATTAAAAAAGGAATTTTCTTTCTTTCAACTATTTTCTCATACTTACGGGACAATTATATAAACGTGGCCACTTACATTAAGGGATGAGCAACGTCTTAAGGTTTTTGAAAATAAAGTATTCCATAGAATATTCGGACCGAAGAAGAACGAGTTAACCGGAGATGGTTACACAACACTGAATTGCGTGAACTGTATCTGGTAAATATAATTGAGATGATTACATCGCGGCAAATCAAATGGGCTTGTAAAACTGTTGGGCTCAGTAATGAAAGAATTCCTGAAAGGTTAATAAATACCTATAACCGAATGGTAAATATCCGAGAGATAGACCGAAGCAAAGATGGGAAGATTGCGTTAAAGCCAATGAAGGGACTGGTTTTAGATGGCAAACAGTGGAGGGAGGAGTGTAATAAGCGATTGGTGATGTCGGCATCGACACCTTTGGGTTTGCGAAGCCTTTTATTATTATTATTTCTTTATTTTTCACATATACTATGGTGTTTATAATACGTAATAGTTGGGGCCTATTAGGTTAGCCAAAAATTACATTTATATGTTTTCATAGTTCTTTAATATTTGTGAACTCTCTGACTATACTTGCTGTTACCAACAACACAGCTTGTTGCATCCTTTAGACAATTTATTTGTGAATTACTCAAAAAGTATGCATTTTTTTCTTGATTAGACTCATTATTATTTGAAAATTTACAAAAAATCCCTACAAAACAAAAACAAAATCAGGAAAATCGGACTATTATTTACAAAGATACAGCCTATTGTAATTTATATATTATTGCTTCTAATATTTTGTTCAACGAAGTGTTATAATATATTAATTATCATTTTTATGTGTACGGTTTTGAAAACTACTTTCTGATTTTTAGGTTTTAAAGGATAACTCCGACAACTTTTAAGATTGATTGATCGCCTTTTAAAGCCCTAAAATGTACAGTTTTGCAGTTACCGTTTGAGCCCAATCTTACATCTGCGATAGGAAATCTTGTGTTGTCATGGATTCCGATTCATATAAAATGTACATTTTCCAGTTCTCTATAGTTACAAATAGAGTGCAACTCCAGTTGAAAAGAGTAAAAGAGATCAGCCTAGCATGACTACGAATGGGACACTCCAGACTTAATGACAAAGGGGGCATGCATCTCCTGAGTGTCTTTCCTGCATGGTAAATATCACGGTGATGCACACCCAGACAGATATATAACAATTTACTTTTTTTGTAAATGTTAATGTTTTCAAACATCAAGTTTACTAATATTTTTTATATTCTGTAATAAAGAGATTGTGTAAGAACTAAAATGAACCAAAAGTGGTTAGAAAGTCCTCATTGTTATAAATACAATATATACTATCTTTTAGTAACATAATTTTAAAGATTGTTTAAAAACAACCCCCATCTCAGAAAAAAAACCATTAAAAATAAAAATAATAATACATTGCATTAAACTAATAATACATTGCATTAACATATTTCCATACTATTCTATCAGTTGTTCTCTGACTAATATTTTATGTGAATTATTCGCACAGACCAGCTATTAATTCTTAAAATCATTTAATCTTTTTCTTTTACCCATTCCTGAGTACTCCATCATAGATTTCAAGGACTAATACTGTAGTCCCTCCAGTTATCTCTACTTACCTGTATATCTTTATTCGACTCCAGACAACTTTTTCGATTTGAATAACTTACAAAATATAAAAGCTATCAATAGCTAAATTAATAAATTTTCACAAAATGGGAGTACAATAGGTTGATAGTTTAAAACGCACCTCTTGCAGTAGGCGCATCTTGGGGAGGGGTAGGAACTTGTCCTAGCACCACCCTTCCCTGAAGAGGCTCAGCTTCTCCAGGCACTTCCCTTCTTCTTTCCTTATCATCATCTCTTGTTTCTACGAAAAACAAAACAAAATATATGTTTAAACATCTTAAGAAAAAAAAACATGTAAAGGGGCAAACAAATAAATGGCAACCCCACAGCCGTTTGGCGTGACCTACACACCAAATTTTCAAAATAACGAGGTTATATAGAACAAACGGAACAGTATTTTTGTAGGCCACTTTTTAAATTTATTTTGTGATCAAATTATCTTACGATCCAAGTAGAAAGCAAATGTGTATTTGCGAGTTTTTAGTACCTAATTAAATAAATAAAGCTTGCCCCTCTCCAGATTGAAACGCCCCAATTCTAAGAGTTTTTGTAAATAAAATAGTTGTAGGTTACAATGAGATGAAACTATTAACGAAGTTTCAGGTGGATGTTAATAATTTGTTAAAAAGAGGTCTGTATCACGGACTACAACCTTTTTTATTTATTTAATTATTTTTAATTTTTTGATATATGGGTCAGTTATCGTAGGGGTAGTTTTTGAAAATAACATCCATTTTAAGATTACACCACTGTTTCAATTTTTTTTTTTCAAGTTTCAGTTTTTCGAATTTATTCGAAATTAGGGTCTAATTATTGACCAGGGTATACTTGTTTCTGGGGCCGTAAATTTTGAAAATGACCTCCATTTTAAAATTATACCACTACATTTCGACTTATTTAATTTTTCAAATTTATTCAATATACGGGTCTACTTTTATGTTTCCAGAGCCATAGATTTTGAAAATGACCTCCATTTTAAGATTAGGCCACTGTGTTTTGGTTTGTTTAATGGAATTTAAAAAAATGTGAAGGATTAATTTATATTTTAAACAAAATAAATAAAGTATCTATTGTCTCATTTTTAAACTTAGTTTAAGTTATCTTTTTTAATATTGTGGTATTCTCATACAAAAATTATAAGATTTTGAAAAATTTGCTAAAAAATCTGAAAATAGTAGGTTAAATTTATTACCAGTTGCTTTTTACTTTGTTTTTGTAGTTAATTTAACCTTAGCTTCATAATATTAATTTATTTATTCATAGTCGAAAACATATTGATGAAACTTTGATTTGAAAAAATCCAAAATTAAGCTTAATTAATAGAGAAGCAGCGGCGCAATCATAAAATGGATATTAAATATTAGAGATTAGAAAATTTTCATATACTAGGTCTCCCATAACATTTAAGTAGACACTTACATCGAAAAAATTAAGTAAGTCAAAACGCAGTGTCGTAATCTTAAAATGGAAATCATTTTCAAAATCAATGGCTCCGGAAACATAAAAATACACTCTTATATGAAAAAATTCGAAAAACTTAAATAAGTCGAAACGCAGAGGCATAATTATAAAATGGAGGTCATTTTCAAATTCTATGGATCCGGAAACATAAGAATACACTCGTATATAAAAAAATCTGAAAAACTTAAGTCGAAACGCAGTGGCATAATCATAAAATGGAAGTAATTTTCAAATTCTAGGGATCTGGAAACATAAGAATACATCCTAATATCGAATAAATCCGAAAAACTTAAATAAGTCGAAATGCAGTAGCGTAATCTTAAAATGGAGATTATTTTCAGAGACTAAGCACATGATAACATAATACTAGACCCTTATATTGTATAAATCCAAACAGGTACAATAAATCGATATCCGAAAGTTTTAACATAAAATCGATAGTAGTAAAACTCTACTTAGGGAAGCATAATAATAGACCCTCATATTGCAAAATAACCAGGGAAGCATAATAATAGACCCTCATATTGCAAAATAACCCTTATTTAGAAAAAAATCAAAAATTTACAAAAAATCGAAACTTTAATTTGAAATGGAAAAGGTTGAATACATGTTTTTTTCTAAAGCTATACCTTTGATAATACAGCAACTGGCCTTTATTTAGAAAAAAAGTGAAAATTTACAAAGGTTCGAAAGTTGAATTTGAAATGGATAAAGTTGAATTTGACTTGGAAAAGGTTGAATTTGATTTGGAAAAGGTTGAAATTGATTTGGAAATGCTATATATATGAAATAAAACTTCAAATGAGTAAATAAGCATGTATTAATTTTTTTTTTTAAATTTATGCGCCTATAAAAAAAATGTGGTGCACACGTGACGCAACTTCCACTTACCATCCTACTTTAAATAAAAACAATTATCTTCTATAAAATAATACTACTATAAAAATATTTACCTGGTAGAAACATCATACATAGAGAATTATAAGCATAAATTATACATAGTATAACATATTATTTAAAACAATTAATTATTATGTTTTTGCCATGTGTCTAATCTATTAAATTTCTACATTTTTCGTCACTAATAATTTTTTTGTACGACTATATATTTTTAATTATTTATTAAATTACAATAAATAATTTCTGCCTCAAAATTTATTTGGTCTGACAAAAGTAACAGAAATATAAGAGACCACTATATTTATTTATACTTCATTGTGAGTTTTTTTATTTGTTTGAACAATGACTTATATACAGATTTTAATTTTTTAGCGATCTTTCACCAAGATCGAGAGTACAATCGAATTTCTTTAGCATTATCCCGAGTGTACACTTGAGTATCTTCAGTAATTCTAGGTCCCTCGTAATCATCACTTGTTTCTCAGTTAGTTAATAATAACATTTTTTCCCTATTTATATTTAACCATTGTTCATTATTAGCTACAATTTTTATTATTTGCTTTACATATTTTTATTATTAGTTTTTATCTTAACAAGTTTGACAGGGAGAATAAGAATTAACACTGGATTATCAAATATGAACACACCTTACGTTACTGTAAAAGCGATTACGAAAATAAATTATCGAACAAAAGGGTTTATATTAAAATAATAACAATATCTAAAAATATATATATACTTCCTAAATATATTAAAATAACAATTACAAAATTAAATTTTAAGACAGAGTAGAGATTAAATAATTTAATAACTTTAAGATACTCATGCTTTCTTACATGAACTTAATAAAATTTAAGTTCTACCAGTAGATTACCTTAAGGATGAAGATTTTCTAATTTTAATAACGGGGAAATGTTATTATTAAATTAAATTGCTATTATTATGTTAATATAATTAAAAACTATTTTGATGGTTGATTGAAACATGATTAAAGTAAATACAATAAATCACCTGATTCTCCAATCGAAGATAGTGGGGAACTATGCCTGGTTAAACTAGGGACAGAAGGAGTTGCTGGAGTTTGATTGACATCCTTTTCTAACCAATTGTCCATTTCAACTTTCCAAGGCTCACACCCTTGACCTGTTACCAATCGATGAAGACCAGGAGGAGGAGCTTCTCCTAAAAAAAAAGATATTTTAAGATGAATCTATTTACGAAGTTTCAGGCAGATGTTAATAATTTGATAAAATAGGGTCTGTACCATGGAGTGACAATTTAAAAAAAAAATAAAAGGAAATAAATTAAAAATAGATCTATGATGGAAAGTTTGTTCACCTTCATCATTAATTTCTGTGTTTTGTAAATAAGTATTACTCTCCTTTCTTGAAGAAAAATGTCCTGTTTCTAAATACTGATTTCTATCCACTGCACAATGTTTTTGTGTTTCTTGTTCTACTTCCTAAAAATAAGACATTTGGTATTAAATATTTTTTAAAAAATAAGTAAATCACACTAAATTATACTTGAAGTCACAACTTACTTCTTTAGCAGGATTAATAGAGAGAGCCTTTAAATCTTGAGCAATATTCTCTGTATTGTCAGGATACTCCCGATTATCGGGGATTCGTTCTTGATTTTCAGGTAGCAGAGAACTATGACTGGCTATGGGTGAACTAGTTGCAATAGGAGCCATTATATTCATATTAGCCATTGGATAAGAAGGGGGATTTCCAATATTAGGATTCACTTTTACAACAGCATCAGAATCATGAGGTTCTGGAGGTGCCATGATGTGATGGTTAGGATATACATTAGGAGGTGGCAGTTGCACAGGTGGTGTAATAGGATTCCTTTGTTGAGGTGAAGGAGTAAATCGTTTCGTCCTATTGTCAATATTCTGATTAACTTCATCTTTTGGAGGGATTTGCTTCATTACTGAAGTCTGTGTCGTATTTCCATGGTGACCTAATGATGAATAACCCGCTTCTTTTTCCATATGCTGCTGATGAGATGGAAATACATTAGTGAAACTCGATGGTCCTGAGGAGACCATCTGAGCATTATACCCATCTGGCATTGGTTGAGAATAAAATAGATTTGGCTGAGCAGATAAATTTTGATTAACTGATTTTGGTTCAAAATAATCATTGATATGATTATGTTGCTGTTTAGTCCCTGTCTGTGGCACATGTGGAACTTGAAAAGCTTTAGAAGCTGGAGTTACGTTATTAAGATGTTGACTGTTAAAATTAGATATTTCTGGAGGCTTTGACTTAAATTTAGAAGATTCATAACTAAAACAAACAAAAAATAACCAGAATTCAATTATTTTTCATTACAAAAATAAATAAATAATAGTATTTATTATTATTGTTTTTATAAGGCATTACAAGAATGAAATTAGATGTCATATCTGGAGAAACCCCTCTCTGTAGCTGTAGAATTGACTACTAGAATACAGAGCATATCCTTCAGACATGTCTTGAGGTTGAGGTCATCAGAAAGCTAATTTGGGCAAACCCCACTGACTAGGCTCTACTCGATGAAGCTCTGAGGTGGTCTGGAGGATCTTAGAAAGACTGTCGAGTTTATACTCTCAGTCCCAGACCTCATCTTTTGAGGGAAGTTCGAAGAAGATGTTATATCAATTGAGATTATTTTTCATTTTAAATATATTACGTAACATTACTTTTGAAAAGTAACTTATGAAGAAATAGATAAATACGAATGAAAAATAGAAAAAAAATTATTAAAAAAATAAACATAAATTTGATATTAAAAGATATAAAAACCAGAAGTTTCTCTTATAGAAATCTCACATAATAAAGAAAAAGTTGTGAAGTAAAAATAATATAAAAGGTGACAATCATAGTTAGGGAACTTTCGGGGATAAGTTTTGACGTTCATTTTATTAATTTATTACCAATTAATTAGTTACATAGTAATAAGATGATTTGTTTAACAATCATATTGAAAATTCACTAGCTCAGAGGTTTCAAATTAATGTTATTAATTTCAAATTGAAGAATCAGTCACAGAACAGCAGAGAAAACTAATTTGTAGGATGTTGTACAATAGAAACCCACGTAAAATAGGAAAAACACGATATTTTTTAAAACGGTTGGTTAGGAATTGATTTTATTATTATAAATAAATTTTCATTATTTTTAATTATAAAAAGAGCTGACTAGATTCAGAAGCAACTATAAGGTTGCTTGCTAACATATAAAAGAGAAAGTTGTTTTTATTAGAGTTAATCTCAACCTGTGAATTTGAGAGCAAAAACAGCAAAACTTGAAGAAAAAAAAAGTTGAAGTTGAAAAAGCATGGATTATGTATCTAAAAAAACATGGAATTTTTTTTTAAATATTTAATCAAATAAAGCATAGTTATAAGGAGGAGCATAGACAAATACTTAATGTGTTTAAGTAATGAGTGACAGTTTATAGGTATATAACAATTTTTTGTGCTACTGCCTCAGCCAATTTTCAAGTTTGATGGTTCAAACTATTTGATAAGATTCTGAGAATGTTTTGAAGCAATCTGAGTGTTTCATTTTAGATAGTGACACAAGTTTCCAAAACATAATATGCCAGTAAGTTTGGAATTCAGTGTATGTTACTTCGCCATGGTGTAAACAACTTTTTTTTGTAAACAAGTTTTTTGCCAAATAAAAACAACTATTTTAATCTAACGAAATCTGCAGCTGAAGCAAACAGAGTTCTTGATCGAAGTTACGGTGAGCATGCACTGTCAGAAACGACATGCAGAGGCTGGTTTTGGTGCTTACAATAAATAAAAAAAATATATAATAATGATATTAATTAACAAGATAAAGAATGCTCTAGCATACCGAAAAGGGTTGAAAATAGAGAATTGGAGAAATTATTTAATGAAGACTGAAGACTTATGTCAAACACTAACTGAACTTAGAAATTCATTACGAGTAGATGACACAGTGGTTTCAAAATGTATTAAAGCATTCAGAAGAACCCAGAAGCAAGGACATTGAATGCCTTATGAGTTGAAGTTTATTTTATTATATTGTGACTGGCGATGAAAAATGGATGTAGTAAAATAAAGCTAAACTTAAAAATAGAGGGGGAAATCTGGCCATGCCCCAACATCATCCACAGAAGCAAATATTCATGGTTTTAAGCTTCTCTACATTTGGTGGGATCAACACAGTGTAGTTTATTATGAGCTGCCTAATATAATATATCGCCGAATATAATATATTCGAAAACCGAACAAAACTATCACAGGAGATTACGATTGCAATAGACTATAATAAGACATGTTTGAGCTGAGATCTAAAGAAAAAATGGCCAATATACGAGCAGAGATACAACAAGATAATTTTATTACATGTCAACACTTGGCCACATGTTACAAAACTGGTAAAATCTACCTGGGAACGCTTAAATGGGAGGTCCTGTCCCATTCACCTTTAGCCCCTTCCTTCACTTATTTTGTTCGATGGCACATGGCCTGGCTGAGCAGCATTTCCATTCTTATGAATTTATCAAAAAATGTGTAGATTCTTTGATGGTGTTTATAGGCCAGTCATTTTTTCTTACATGGAATTCATATACTACCAGGAAGATGGGAGAAAGTAGTGGCTAACGATGGACAATACTTTGTGTGACATGTTTTTTACCACTTACTTTAAATAAAGGATTGATTTTCAGAAAAAATCAGCGAGAACTTATTCAAGCTCCAAATAAAGGAATGCCTAACCACCAACATTTCAAGTTTGATAGTCTGTGTTTTAAAAATAATTTGTGCTCAAAATACTGAAAATTATTTTATTATATTTAAAGTATTCTCAAATTTTTGTTGAATTTAAATTGCCAATAATTGAAAAATTAAAGGGTTAAAATAATTTAATTTAAAAAACGAATGTGACTATCGAAGTATCCTACTGTCCTAAGAAAGAAAATATACTTACTTACCTACTTAAACTTATTGGTGGGTTGTTGTTGAAGTTCATGCCTATGGATATTGAAACCTGATTTAAGAATTGGTTGTATATACAAGCTAAAGCATATACATTCCACCCATTGTATCTGTACATGTCAACATAAAGAAAGCTACTCGAATCTGTATGTGTAAACATACAGACAGAAAAATACTTAGTATCAGACTACTTCACCAAGTTTGAATATCCATAGACATGTATTAGAATCATCACTTCAAGATTTTCTAAAATTATTTTAAGTACCTGTGTTTATTGTCAGGAGGTGCTATTTCCCGGTTTTCAACTTGATTGAGCATATTGTTGTTAATGGTAGAATATAAATTAGATGAGGCATGACCTCGAACCTCTTGACCATGATTTGACTGAGTCCAGTCATCCCAACCTTTCTCGTACCCTTCATGAGTGGGTCCTCTATTAAGTTGACTCACATGACTACCCGTTCCAGTTTCCTTAAAAACAGAAGTTACACTATATTATTACCTATTATGTGTATTTAAACTATAACGTTTTAATTAATCAAGTTATATTACTATTTTAGATAAAAATTAAATTAAAAAAAAAAGGAGTTGATTTTATTTGGATGGTTTATTTTGATTGATATTCGAATTATAGAAAAGATCAATTAGACAGGCTCAATTTAAAATTTAACATACCTTGGAGCTATATAAGCTTATATAAATACTAAAAACAAGATAGGATATGAAATAATATAGAGATTAGTGGCTGGAAACCTTAACTACTTTGATTTAAAAAACATTAATGGAGTCAAAATTGCTGTCAAAACACACTAAGATGAAGTTGTACCTTGGTCAGACTGGTCTATAATCTCTAATGCATCGTAGTAATGGAATTTAAATATATAAAAAGAAAAAAATAACAATACTATTTTCATTCAATCTGTTGGATTCAATACATTTCCTCCAATACCCAATAAATGATTTTTTCCTCTATTTGAGGAAACTTTTTGCCAATGAATCCTGGGGAACCACTGGTTTATTGTTTTTATTCACTGAATTATTACCAAAAGCCATGTTAAGGTGAAAAATAGAAGAAAAAAAAAAAAACTACTCCTTTCCCTCTCATCAGTATATCAAAATTAGTGATTGTTATAATTATAATAGCTTAAGTTAGACTAGATACAGCTGTCAAATTTCACTTGTTTAAGCTACAAACAAATTCTCAATGAGTCCTTGTTAGCGAAGGTGATATGGAATAGCTCTAAACAAATAACTGACATAAAATGTATCATATTCTAAATTATACCTTTGGAGGTGCCCTGTTGAAGTTTTGTGAAACGGTGTTTGTCCATCCGTTATTCCAATCAGTGTTATTCCAATCCCATTCATTAAACTCTGTTGACATGTTAAGCCTGTTTCATGAAAACAATATATTAATAAAGTCCAGTAATTGTTAAATTACTATTATGGTTAATATTATGGTTATATAATATTTAAAACCATAGAGCAACATTTAAAAAACTTAATGCCAAGCTATATCCAAAATAACAGTCTCAACAAAAAGTGACTGTTTCGAAATTTAATGGAATTGTTCCTGCTTCACCATACATTTTAATAATATAACAAACCATCTAAAAATTAAGACTTAGAGATCAACCGATTTTCCGATGTGTTTTTTCACTGTTCCTGAGTAAAATGGTTTTTTTCTGAAATCTCAATACACATTTCATCAGAAATAGATTTTTCTTCCATAGTAATTTATATAACCGTTATGATAACAGAAAATATCCATTTCAGGAAGAAATGTATTTTAATTTAAAATCAGTTATTTAACTAAGGACAGAATGTTTTTAACATGTATTTCAGACAATAAGATGGATGAAATACCTACGATCAGATTAAATTGTTTTGGACGATGGGCGAGTAATCTGTAAGGTTGGACAAAAAGAATATAATAAAAACTTAGCATGGAAAAGAAACTTTTAATTATATATACCTAGAACTATTACAATTCTTCCTTTGAAAAAATTAATATATGAAATAAATAATTTGATAGCAATGATTCTTTAGGATTCCATTCAGAGATGGAGGTGATTTTTGGAAGATAAACTAACAGGATGACCACACAATTTGGTAGAAACGTTACCCTATTTATGGGAGAAATTCTAATAAATCAATCAGATAATTAGAAAAATTATTTCATATTTCAAGTTATTCGAAATCAATTGCTGTAGACATTGACAATACAATGTATGTATGTAAATATAATTTTTATTTATTTTTTTTTTTTTCGGTTGGCACTATAGACATGAAGATCTTTGGCCACGAGATGTGGTCTCCTTTCAGACATGTATTGCTTGCGGAAGCACAGATAGCCTGGAGAGGGTCATTCAACCTCATGTTGCTAAGAACCATGGTCTCCATAGCGCAGTGGCAGGCCACCAGTAGCACCATAGCTGATCTCGCAGCGTTCTTTCCACAGATTCACTCGGGTTGAAGGACAGTGACAGTTCGGTTTAGATACATAGATTATGGCTGTTAAGAGTCAGCAGGCACACAAGGACCTATGTCTTTCCCCGAAACAGACTGTCCATGCACCAAACCAGGGGGAGGAGTCTGGGGCAGCTTGACTTCCTCTGGTGGACGGACCCAAATCACCCATCCAAGTACTAACTAAGCTCAACATTGCTTAACTTCCAATATCTATTGCAAGCACCTTAGGTTGTTCTAGTGTTTTGAAGTAGAGTTTAATGTTCATCTTAGGAAATTTCTGGTTCTGAGTAGATGTCATATATTTTGTCTTTATGTATTAAATTCTAGTTTGTGAGCTATAGCCCAATTTTTTAAGATGGTAAGAGATTGGTCAGAACTTGCAGTTTGGTAATATCTCGTCTTTTACTAGAAGGATATCGTCATAATCAGCTATGATGTGTGCTCCTTCAGTCATATAAACGTAGTCTATCATATATATATATATATATATATACTTACTTATATATATATATTTACTATATATATATATATATATATATATATATATATATATATATATATATATATATATATATATATATATATATATATATATATATATAGTTACTATAGCAATTAATATAAATTAAAAAATAACAACAATTGACTTTCTAATTAAAATAAAAACCTGTCTAATACCCACTTTTTTTTCCTTTAACTATCTAACAGCAATCAAAAGAAAAATTAACTGCTGTACTCTAATTTTAACTGACATTAACTTAATTAATTAATGAAAATAAGAAAATTCTCTTGCCATTTCTTGGTAAATATGAGACAAAATATTGGTTACCAATATGATGGAAATTGGCAAAAACAGGTCATCCGGGTGTCAAAATTTATACTAATGTAATGAGTACAAAAAACTAGACCCACCCTCTAAGGAAAGCTATTCAGCATAAGTTTTTCAGTTAGCAAAGACCCATCACATTTCAAATTGGGTGCACAACACAAAAATAATTCAACTTATTGAATAATATTCTAAAATTAAATTTTATCTCACTTTAAAAAAAAGAAGCAAATCATGCACACAGAAATAATTTTTAACATGAACAATAAAAATTTGGTGGTGCGGTCAAAGATTTGATACATAATAAGAGGGGCTTATATTGATCCAAAAGAAGAATATTGAAATTTCTATTACTACATCCATTCTTAAAGCATATGTAGTTCCTTAAGAATGAATATTAAGAGTATTAAACATGACAAAGAACAACCAAACTCATTAATGAATATCTATTGTTATATTTGAAAATAAATTTATTCTTGCCAAAAGTAAAATACTCTTGGACAACTAAAAATCTTGGGAGTCTGACATCAAATATGCATATGCATAGTTTACAATTTACACTACATACACATTTCTATACACCCAAAACTTATTATATTAAAAGAAATAGTTCTAGAGACTAGTTTTAACAATAGTTAAAAGAAGACCAGCTTATATAATCACTGTTGGTTATTGGTATTCCTCTGTTTTTAAAACACCTCTATAAATGATCTATATTTATGGGTATATTGTAAGATTAAACAAAAGTAAAGTAGTGGGAAACAAATTCATAAATCAATGTGGGCATAATTGGGCGATTTCTTCTTAACCAAACTGAATAAATACAAAAAACATACCATATCTTTAGAACAACTATTATGACAGGACAATGGTTAAAACATCAGTTGCTACAACTGTTACTTCAATAATTAATCCATATTCAATAATCTAAACTATTTTTTTGAGTAATTAGCATTAAATCCAACTGGTCGATAACAGTTAACATCAAGTGAGTGATTAGTAGAATGTATTAGTCATAAATGCATCCTAATTATTAAAATATATTCATAAGACGAAGAATATTTATGTATATTTTGGTTGGAACACCAATATTTAAATCTGATGAGCACTCACAGATGTTAGAGAACACTCTACAGAAGATCATTCAAGAAACTGATTTTTATTATTTTTCTTGAAGAACAGCATGGATATATTAATCCAAAAGGCGAATAATAAATTGAGTTCAAATAGAACAATTTTAGTTGGAACAACAACCTACTTCAAGTTTTCGGTTCACTGAAGGGACTGAATCCTAAACGTCATTAACAAACCAGGCCACTAGCCCTGCCAAAGGCACATTGAATAGTAGAATTCAAAATTCAATAATTACTTTTTTTTCAATGAAACTACACCAGTATAAAAAATGAACGGAGACTTTTTACAATCTACATTGTATTAAGCACTTTATATTTGATATTTCAGAGAAATGCATTTGGAATTTTTAATAGAATGAACTTCCATACCTCACTGGTACTGTCGATCGCTGAACTTGAGCGACGTGTACAACCTTCTCAGTTTTAAGTGTAGTGTCTTACCGATTACGATGTTGTATTCGGTGTGACCGTTTGACATTCGAATTGCTGTTAATTCATTTATATATTATAACTGTTTGTGTGTAGTGAATAATTTAAAAAACCAGCAATGGTTTTAATGACGATGATAGCAAGGTTGTCCGATGGACTTCCATTAGCAGCGACTATGCAAGATGATGAGCAAGTATGTAATTATTTATTAAACTGCTATTTACTGATTAAATTTATTTATTGTTTAAGTTTACTAAAATAAACTTTATAGTCGGGAAGAAACACTCTTGAATATCAAAATCAAGCCAAGATGTTATTTAAAAGGTTGACAGCACAGAGCCCATCTCAGTGCACTATTGAAACTGGCCTTTACTTATTCCAGTAAGTATTATATTACTTTAACTTATTTCAGGAATATTAATTTTAATGAATTATTCCATCTAATTGATGCCTTGACTATCCTAGTTATCTGATTGAGAAAGATGTTTGCTATCTTGTTCTCTGTGAAAGGAATTTTTCAAAAAGGATTGCTTTCTCATACCTTGAAGATATTGCCCAGGAATTTTATTCACAATATGGGAGGAAAGTAAATACAGTTTCAAGACCTTATTCTTTAATTGAATTTGGTATGTTCGTTTCTTGTAAAATAAATAGTTTGGAATAATTTTATACTTATGTATTAATTATATTCAACTTTTTTAGATACATACATCCAGAAAGCAAAAAAGATGTTTACTGATTCTAGGGTTAGAAGAAATTTGACATCACTAAATAGTGAATTGCAAGACGTGCAAAGAATAATGGTTCAAAATATTGATGATGTGCTACAAAGAGGAGCTGTCCTGTCTGGTAAATCTCTACAAATATTATTTAAATTTTTTTTATAAATAATGAATTAGTACATATCTATAGAGTAGAAATTTCCATGAAGATTATATTTAATGTATAACTTAGTATTATATAAAACTTTATATTTAATATAATATATTACCCTCATTAATTTATTATCTTAAAAGAGATGACATGCTTGTAAGCTCTGATAAAATAATTACCAATTTTAAAATTTGTTATTGTTGTAAGCAGTATTTTTTTTAATGGATCAAGTCCTTTCTCAAGGAATTTTAATGTTATTTATACTAATCCAGTATTGATGAGACAAGGCACAATAATAAGTTTAATTGAAATTTAAAAAATTGATATTGATAGAATAAAATTAACTGCATTTCTTACAGTTTGAATAAACAGGACTATCAGTTTCATTTATGGTCTAAAGAGTTGGAAAAGCGTGACGCTTTATTTAATTTTTGTTGAGAACTCTATTCTTCTCTCCTCTCCCCTTTGTCTATAAACTACATCAACTCCCCATCTGTTTAACTTTCATTGATTTTTTCTTTATGTTTAGGGCTGGTTTTTAATGTTTATCTTGAAATAAAATGTAAAAGTAACAATTTATATCCTAAAGCAATACTATAAAACGAAGTAAGTGTAATTTAAACTCTCCATTAAGAAGTTGCACTTAGTGCAGAATAACAATTTTTTTTTAAAATCAGAAATAAAATTATTTGTCAGAAATCAATATTGTTTATATTAATAGTCTAATATTTGGAATGGTCTAATATTACTTAACATACTTAAGTTTGATTTGACTTATAATTTTTATTATTCATACTTCCTGCCAGTTATTTTATTAACAATTATTTTTTTTCATTTATGACAGATTTTTATTGTTCTTTTTTTTCCCCCCTTCTTTATTTTGGAGGGAGAACAGGGAACTTTATTTAAGATAGACATAAGTCTGAAAATCCTATTGACACTCATGTAGTTATCCTGTGTTCGTTAAACTAGCTGAAATGTTACTATTTCATTTTAATTAAGTCCCCTCTTACTTATTTAATTTGATTTTTTTTTTTACTCTTATCCAAAAACTACATCAACTCTTAATGAATTTGAAAGATTTTCCCTAAAATATAATTAATATATTTTAATTGGCTGGTTAATTATTATTCCTAGAGTGTCTAAAGGTAGACAGAGAAAACATGAACCGGGTAAAGTCAGAAAATAGTAAGGGATATTTGTTTAACATGTGAGAAAACTATAGAAATTTTCAGTAATTTTTGATCTCAGTAATCTGTTTAGGATTTTTTCTAATTTTCACCTAAAAATTAAATGTAAAAGTATCAATTTATAGCTCAACACTTTTTCCTAAAATGAAGTAAAGGTAATTTTAACTGTCAATTATCAAATTGCATATTTAGAATTTTATTTTATTGATTACAGCAATAGATTTTACTATATTTATTAATAAAAAGAAAATTAATGATATATTTCTTTTTTTTTTTACAGAATTAGATTCAAAAGCTCAAAATTTATCTATGCTTTCTCAGAAGTATAAGAAAGATGCTACTTATTTAAATATGAAGTCAATCTATGCAAAAGCTGCTGCTGGCTTTGTTGTTGTTTTTGTTTTTGTTATGTATTTTTGGATTTTGTAATTGGATCTAAAATAGTATTCACTATGATGTATGATTTGTTATATATAATTTATATTTGTACAGAAATATATAAAGACATATATATATATTGTAAATTAAAAACATTTTTAGAATACAATTGTTTGATTAAAAAATTAACCATCAACTGATTAAGTTAAATGTAATCATCTGTTAATGATTTTTTTGTTATAATTTAAGACATTCAGCATATCTATGCTGCAGAAATAGATAAGTAAAATTAAAATGTAGAATGGTAGAGAGAAAACATGCACTTGAGAGCATAATAAAATATATCTTATAAGGATATATCATATCCTATGAGGATATTATTTTCTAAACAGTTCCTCAAATGGACTGCAGTTTTATGGTGTTATTTGAAAATAACTGCCATCAATAAGGGCGAAAATGGCCAAATTTCATACACAGTTCAACTTAAGAAACTCCTTTAGGATAAGTGATATTTTAATGTATCAGTTATTTTTCTTACATTTTCAGCTTATGCGTGCGATTGGAAACAATGTCATAATCCCCGTATTTATTTTCATACAAAATCACATATTTAAATGGTGGAATGAGTATACCCAGGATGATAAACCTTACAAAAATGTTTATTTAATTGTTTTTTTGACCAAATTGACTCATGTCAAAGAAAAATGTATACTGAAATGAAAAAATTAAAGAATTTTAACTTTTTTTAATTATCATGTTATACTGTAATATAAATTGCACACAAATTTACATACAAAATTATAAATAATCTTTTAAACTAGAATTGCAATGATAAGGACCTCTCAAAACTTGAGCATAACCATAACTGGCTCATTTTCTTAGAAAGTAATAAAAATAGAAATTTATGAAATTATTGTAATACAAGTCAATATTGAAAAATCTGGTGCCGTGTGTGTATCACTCAACTTTCACTTACCACCCTCAAGTATTTTCAGACAGGTAAAAACTATAGATGGTATGAAACATTATTTAAAACAATTACCATATGCTTTTCATAGCCTTCTAATGTATTATATTTATTTTGTTTGACGCTAGCCATTTTCTTTTATGACTATATTCAACTAGACAACTTTTATGGAATTCGACATGGCGAGGAAAAGGAATTTTACGACTGGCAACCTGGAACGTGCGAGGTTTGAAGGGGAAGGAGTAGGAGCTACAGTAAGAGAAAATAAGGCAAAGGTTGCCTACTAACAATAACTGAGATCAAAAGAAAAGGAAAACATGAAAAAAAAATTGAAGATAACATTCTACTGTACTTGGGAACCATTGAAGAAAGAATAGCCAGCAGAGGTGTAGGTTTCATGATTGGGGAAGCCTTAAAGAATACAGTGATCAAAGAATGGAAATTCTTAAGTGATAGGTTGATGATGATTGACATAAAAGATGCCTTCAAGACTATTATTGTGGTCTATGGACTGAATGATAACACCATAGCCACAGAGAAGGAAGAATTTTTTGAATGTATTCAGAAAAAAGAAGATGATGTGCATGGTGAACCAATTGTCAGAACTTAAACAGCTGAGTTGGAAGAGATTCCCACTTGTGCCTGTATATTTTAGGGTCCCATGCAGAAGACATCAAGAATGATAATGGGGGAAGAAGAGTGCCAACAATGGTATGATCGTTGTTAATAGCAAATTCCCTCCTAAAACCACAAAAATTTACGAGAGAGGGACCGAGTAGAAATGAAAAGTCTGTAATAGACTATTTTCTTGTAAAGAAACAATCTCTCAAAGATTTGATAGACGTGCGAGTTAAAAGAGGATTTGAAATAGGAAGCGACCACTACTTGTCGAAAATGGATCTAATATGGAAAGGAGAGAGAAGAAACGGAAAGCATTCAAGAAGGACCCAAATAGAAGTGGTTAAGGTGCACAGGCTAAGAGAAGATGAAATTGCTACCTAGTACAAGGAAGAAGTTGAGAGAATGGCCAGAGATTTGGACTATCAGTGGGATTCTGATGACATAGAAACAAGCTGATTCTATTTTAAGAAAATAGTTATGGACGCAGCAGCATTGGTTTGTGGTCTAAAAAGAATTGGAGGCCGATACAAGAGAACAGCATGGTGGTCAGCTGAGATTAAAAAGGTAATAGGAGAAAAGAAGAAACTCTGGAAAGAATACCTCGAGCATAAAACACCGGAGAACTTCGAAAAGTATAAGCGGAAAAGGATTGAGGCTAAAAAATAAAGTTATAGGGGCCAGGCCTTTGACTGCGTGTCTCAGGCGCTGTTACTCCGACGACTGGAAGAGTACAAGTTTCCAGCCCCTCTATGCCGACTGATCAGAAGGTACCTTAGTGGAAGATATTTGATCGTACGAGTTGGTAATGACTACTCGAACCCAGTCGATACCACATGTGGAGTACCTCAAGGGTCTGTGTTGGAGCCATTACTATTCGTCGTTTTCACGGTGCCAGTAGTGGCACTTAGGAAATTAAATGAAAAAATGTTTTATTATTCTGGGACTGTTGTCCCTTAAGAACAAAATATGAATACAGATTGTATGTCTGTGTGGTTACAATTAAATTGTATATTTACAATGAAAGTTGACTTACGATAAAAATACAGAAAAGAGAAAGAAAAGAAGAAGTAAATTGTACATATATATGAGAAACTAAAATAACCTTAATAAATTGAGGTAGTCTCTGGTGGTGCTCAGATATTCCCTTAGATATATTTCACAATCATTCGGATTGAGAAAGGAGTAGGTACTTAAAGAGGAGAGGTTTAAACGAGGAAACTGATTGAGCGTGTCGAATATCAGCTGGGATGGAATTCCAGAGGGAGGCGGCTTGTATTGCAAAGGATTTGTCAAGGAGGTCGGAAGTACGAGATCTGGTGGGACGGGATTGGATGGAATATTTGAATTGTAAGCTGTGAAAAATATGGTCGATGGGTTCTAATGATTTGGTACAGAAAGGTGGCTAGGAAGTACTGACGGCGATAGGATGGGTAGAGCCACCTCAACTCAGTGTAATACTGGGTAATATGCGTATCCCTTGAGATTCCGAAAACAAATCGTAGTGCGCAATTCATTAGGCGTTTAAGTTTGGCCTCGGAATCTCCCGAGAGTCCACCGTACACCATACAGCCATAGTCGAAGTAGGGGAAAACAAAGGAGGAAGCTAGGAGTTGAAGGGACTTATATGGAAGGAGATATCGTAGACGATTGAACTGTTTTAGGGTGGAGATAGTGCGACGGGAAATTTGGGAGATGTGAGGTTTCCAGGATAGGGATTGATCGAAAGTAACACCTAGGTTTTTAACGGTGGTGTGGAATAAGATAGGTGAGTTGTTCAGGAGGAGATTGGGAGATACCGGGGAGGATTTGAGGAGTGAAGGGGATTCGATCAAGATGGCTTTTGTCTTCTCGGCGTTCAGAGTGAGCCTATTGAGGTTGGCCCAAGCACTTATTCTGCCAATGTCTTCCTGAAGTTTTAGAATGGCATCTGAGATATCTGTCGGATTAAAGAAGAGGTAAATTTGAATGTCGTCGGCATACAGGTGGTATTGACAGTGCAGGATAGAGGATGGGAGGTCATTTATATAGATGGAGAAAAGGGTGGGGGATAAGGAAGAGCCTTGTGGGACGCCTCTGGTCAGAGGTAGAGATTCTGATGGTGGGTTATTAGGAATTACAACGTACTGGGAGCGACCGGTAAGGAAGGATTGGAACCAATTAAGGGAACTAGAAGAAAAAGAGATATTTTTAAGTTTGGTTAGGAGGATGTTATGGTCTACTGAATCAAAAGCTTTGGAGAAGTCTAGGAGAATAAGGATGGTTAGTTTCTGCTGATCTATGGCTGTGTGAAGGTCTTGGGAAATTTTGATTAGGGCAGACTGAGTAGAATAACCAGGCCTGAAACCGGACTGGTAGGGATTTAGGAGATTATTATCCTCTAAAAAATGGGATAGCTGGGATTGGATTAACCGCTCTAATGGTTTTGAGAGGTTTGAAAGGAGGGAAATCGGTCGGAAATCATTAGGAGCTGATGGGTTTGAAGTCTTCTTCAATGGGCGTACTAGGGCGGTTTTCCAGGATGTAGGGAAGGTAGCATTTTGAAGAGAATAATTGTATATATGATAAAGGATAGGAAGAATGGATGGCAATGCGGCTTTAATCAGTCTGACTGGGATGTTGTCGGGACCGTAATCATTGGTATGGGACTTCTGAATGGATTTAAGGAGATTATCTGGTGTAATATGGGAAAGAAAGAAGTGATCAGGATTAAAGGAAGAGAACATGGGAGCCAGACTGGACGTGGGAGATGTGGTTGCAAGAGGACAGGAGACAAAGTGAGCGTTGAGGTTATCAGTAGAAACGGAATTGGACTGAGACTGGGGTGCATTACCAATGGTCAGTTTTCTAAGAATAGTCCACGTAGCCTTAAGCATCCAGACGCGGTGGTAGCAGCCTATGCTGACGACATCGCGGTCTATGCATCCAGCTTTAACGCAGAGAGAGCTCTCATGAAAGCACAGAATGCCACAGATACAGACACAACGCTCATCAATTGGACTACACTTTGGCTTCATGGAACGTTTTAACTCTACATAGACCCGGAGCTACACAAACGCTCCTAAACATTTTAAAAACATATTCAATAAACATAGGGACCATCCAAGAAATCAGGTGGACTGGACAAGGCAGCCTTAAGAAAGGCCAGCACACCATTTACTACAGTTGTCATGACCGATTACACTGGTTTGGGGCTGGATTCATTGTGGGAAGAAGAGTGACTCAGCAAGTTATAGATTTCAATCCTATCAGCCCCAGACTCTGTGTCTTGCGAATCAAGGGAAAGTTTCACAATGTCAGCATCATCTGTGTACACGCGCCTACAGAAGTCTCTGAAGATGAAATGAAAGACGATTCTATGAGGAACTGGATAAGTGCTTTGATGACTGTCCTGCTCATGATATGAAAATAGTGATTGGAGACTACAATACTGAAATTGGAAAAGAGAAAGCATTTAGGCCTACTATAGAAAGAAATAATATCCTTCATGAGAACACTAACGACAATGGAAAAATGGTGGTGAACTTCGCAGCCTCTAAGGGTTTGCTTGTGGGAAGTACCTATTTCCCGCACAAGTTAGTGCATCTAGAAACATGGAGGAAATTCGGACGGAGCGGATCCACTACAAGCTCTCAGATCGATCATGTACTCATCAGCGCCAGATATAAATCCTCATTACTTGATGTTCGTACAAAACGAGGGGCTAACATTGACTCGGACCACTACCTTATAATTGCAAAAATAAGGTATCGAATATCAACAGTGAAGTACCAGCCTCGACGGTCTCTGAAGAGGTACAATATTGATAAGTTTAAGGACAGTGTTACAAGCATTAGATTCTCATACCATCTGGACATCAGATTTAGGAACTCTGTCCCAGAATCAAATCACGAGTCACAATGGAACTCATGCCGCACTGCACTTATGGAAGTAGCGAACGAGGTTGTAGGGGATAAGACCAAATAGATATATAACCCGTGGTTCGATGACGAATGTGGTGCAGTGACCAAGAGAAAAAACACTGCATACAATAAAATGATGCAAAGGAAGCACACACGAAGCTCTGTCGCGGAATACAGAGCAACGAGAAGGCGCGAGAGGCATGTCCATAGGAGGAAGAAAAGACAATGGGAGAATAAGAGTCTACAAGAGATCCAAAAATACTAGAGAATTCTTCCAGGTTGTTAATAAAGGAAGAAAGCCCTTCATCGCCCGTACCACAGGATCTAGAGCAAACGATGTTTCTTTGGT